AAAAGGGCCACATTTGCCCACCCTTGGAGTAGGAGATACTTCAATTTCTCATTTAGATATACAGTACATACAGGTAATTCTTTCCAACTTTTTTCAACCTCTGTCATCTGCCAATTTAAATAATTCATCCACTCTTCATCCAGTCTTCTTCCAAAATTTGCAGCTCCTTTAAGTCTATAGACATTGTAACCTCTGATGTCCTAACCTCCCAAGTTCAGTTCCTACTCACTATGAGTTTTGCCTTTCACCCAAATCTTACCCCAGCCTCATCCAAGCTTTCTCCCGGAGACCCTGGAATCTTACCTGCCCTCAAAAGATCATTTGTGCAAATCATAACACATCAAAGCAGTTCCCCCTAAAAAATTGCCCATTTTATTTGTGAGGCTTAGCCTCAGAAACGTTTTCCCATCCAAAGTAAACCTACATAAAGTGTTCGGCTACCGTAAGATGCAAGAACCCTCCTAGCATAAGGGAACAATGAGCCAGAAGGCAGTAACTCATCACAAGGCATCAGAGATTTTAAGAAAAGATTGGGCATTACCATTTGTCTGAAATGATATAGGATTTACCTGCCTGAGCAGGGGGTTGGACTAGAAGACACCCCCCCCCAAAGATCCCTTTTCCCACTCTCTTATTCTATATTCTAAATAGAAAAGAGCCTCCTTAGGACAATGAGCACAATAGGCCTGTCAAACTAAAGAGCAACCATCCTGAGGGAAGCAATGGCATTAAGGCCCACCGTTTCCTTTCAGACAGAAGACGGGGGGGGGTTTTAAAATTTAAGAGGTTAAGGGACCCCTTCACAAAATCATGGGTGGGAACAGGCACCCTTTTTACAGGCAAATTTAGGAGGCTGAATAATGGGATGGAGAAAAGGAGCAGATGGGACTTGGGCGAAGGAGATCCGTCTGGTGGGGGTTGGATCTGCATTTCCACAAGCGGGAAGGATTCGGCAATCCGTAATTTGCCCATATTACGAGGAACCAGCAAGGGCGCCAAGGAGGCAGCGGGGCAGCCCGTCGAAAAAAGCCGGAGCGCCGGCGAACAAAGAGTTCACTATCTGCGGCAGCAACGGGGGTTTATTTTCCCAGCAGAAGGGAGCGCAACTTAATGGGGGGGGGGAGAGGGAGGGGTGGCTGCTGCTGCTGCTGCTGCTCCTACACCGAAGGGTCGACGGGCCGCGGCGGGGGAAAAGCCAATCCATCCGGGGAGCAGGAACCCCACGCGGACGATTAAGGAGGATCCACGGCGGGGGGGGGAGCGGGGGGGGCGGAGCTCCAGGGGCCTCCCCCGGGCCACGGGGGGCGGGGCCCAATGGAGCAGGCCTGCCATGCGGCTCCCATGAGGAAAGGACCCGTTAAAGTGGGGGCGGGGGGGGGAGAAGCGTGAGAGGTTTTCTGCGGAACGGGATCGAAAGGGGAACCTATTAGATTTGAAGCAACCGAGGCTTTCCCGCCTAAGATAGCCAGCAACAGCGCCATACACGAATCTCGGGGTGGGGTGGGGGGGGGGCGAGGGAAGAAGCACCTTTTTGCCCTGACCGCCCCCCCCCACTCCTATGTGTGGACGATCCGGAACGGGGGGGGGGGAAGGTGGCGGCGGCGGCGACGAAGAAAATGGAACCTTTATGGGAGGCAGTGGGGGGGGGGAAGAAAAAGGCGGGGGTGGTGGTTATTTAAAGGGCCGCTAGAAGGGGAAAAGCAGCGAGGGGTAGGAAGTGAAAGGGGTCTCGGTCACTCCGAGGGCAGACGCTCCCCAGGAGCCCAGTCAAGCCTCGGGGGGGGGGCTGGGCTTGTCATCTGGTGGGGGTCTTCGGAGGGGTCTCGGTTGAGCAATCCCTCCCGTTCCTATCGCTTTACGAGGTTCTGGAAGAGACTCGGTGGGTGAAGGATTAGGGCCCCTCATTAGGGCCTCCGGCTTCCCTGTTCTTTCTCTCCCTCCGCTACCCCCCCCCCCCACTCCCTCACCTCCATGATGCAGTTTGCAGCCTCCGCCATCTTGCGAATGAGACAGAAAAAGAGAACCACTGGCCGGACTCCCCCAGCCTCGTTCAGTCGAGGGGAGGAGACCGGGCGTTCCATTGGGCCGCCTCTCCGTCACTCGAAAAGGGGAGGGAGGGGAAGGAGGGCAGCCCCGCCTCCCAGGTTTTCATTGGTCGGTGGGGGTCTCCCTCAGTCAGTCAGGAAGGGAAAGGGCCCTCCCTCACGCTTTTTCAAACCGTATTGGGCGCATTTGGAGGAAAGGTTCGGCGCGCGCAGGCTCCTTTTTTCTTTTTCTTTTTTTGCGGCCCGTAGACACAAGTGGGAAATGCCGGGGAACGCCTCCTCCTCATGTTCGTGAATTGCCATTGGTGAAATAAAGAAAGCTTTCACCAATAAGGAACAGAGGCAGTTTCTCGGATAATTTATTGGGGGGACGCAGATGTCACTCACTGCAAAATATCTGCGTTTCTCCGAACCTCTGGTGTCTTAACTTCTAAGGGGCGGGAAGAAGCAGCGCATTGATTACCTGAAGTGGCTGTCAAAGAGCGTTCGCATTCAATCCTCGTATTGCAACCGATGCCACTATGAGGGAAGTGCAATATGACAAAGGACGGGAAGGAGGAGGCGCCATTTATTTTGAAAGGGAAAGAGCAGTGGCTCCTTGCAATGGCCTTCGAAGATGAATATGCCCATCCGAAAACACGATTGGTTATCGAAGTGCCATTCAACATTCAACGTCGCTTATTAAACCACTTTTTTGTCTTGGGGTCGAATTATTTACAATATATTTCATTCGCTTTTCAGCGATCTGTTGGCCATTTTAGATAACGCCATTGGTAGTCAATCAAATATAGCAGGAGTAGTAATTAGTATACCAATTCAGTGATTTACATTCATCTTCCACGTTCTGAGAAGACCGAAGTCCTTTTACTCATAGGTAAAGACACTGGCAATTGGTTGAAATTAGGATCAATTAATAAACTAACAGATATCATTGGCTGCTCTTGTGATCATTCATAGGGCGCGAACCGTCTCCACCAACGAATGAAAGCTTCCTGGAAAATAAGGGGAGGGCCTTTTTAATTCTCTCGTAGAAGCTGGTTGGTAGAAGTTTGGCTCTTTCCTATTGGTCCGACATGAGACCATTGACAAAAATGTGTTCGACGAAGTTGAGAAAACTTCGGGTGAAACATGCTGGGTGGCTTCATGGCCACCGCGGAGGAAGTGTTGTTTTTTAAAGCAAGGTTGACGAATGAAAAAAGTAATAAAATAAAAATCTCACGCAACTAAATCTGTTATAAATTCTATGGTGCATAAAACCTCATGCATGGGGCCACAGCTCTTAGGTTTTGTATAAATAAGCTAGCTATAGCGTTTTTTTCTTCCACATTTTTCCCCTAGAAACTTGCCCATTCTGTGGCTGTTTTGAAACCGGTAAATTTTGCCTTTTCAATTAAGCTATCGTGTGGGTGAATAACAGACATAGAATATAAATCAGGCAAATTTTATAATGTTTATCTCTTAATTGCTTCTCATTGAGGGCCTTGGAATAAAAGCAGAGGTAAAATAGTACCTAAATACAGGTAGTCCTTGACTTACAACCACAATTTGAGCCCAAAGTTTCTGTTGCTAAGCAAGACAGTTTTTAAATGAGTTTTGCCCCATTTTATGACTTTTCTTATCACAGTTATTAAGTGAATCACTGTAGCTGTTAAGTTAATAGTATGTTTGTTAAGTGAATCTGACTTTCCCACTGACTTTGCTTTGTCAGAAGGTCATCAAAGTTGATCACGTAACCTTGGAATAGTGCAACCATCATATATATGAGTCAGTTGCCAAGTGGCCATGTTTTGATTGCATAACCATGGGAATGTTGCAATGGTTGTAAGCATGAAAAACAGTCTTAAGTCACTTTTTTCAGTGCCATTGTAACATTGAACAGTCGCTAAATAAACAGATACTACAAGATACCAGGTACTACGAGGACTACCTGTTTGTTCTTTGTTCTTCATATCAGCTTTAAGATCTGCATAGTTTATAACTCGGCTTACCACCATATCAATCATTTCAGGTCTGATGTCCTGCCTACACTGTCTTCATTAATCTATGTGGGTTAATATTTTGTACCCCAATTTATCTGTTCTACCCTGTGACTATTAATATCCCAACAATAAAAAAATTATTTTCCTGGCAATCTCCATCTACTTGTGACTTTCCATCTTTCTCTAGCCTCCCCATTTCTTTTTATTTATTTTTTCAGTTACTTCCTTTTACCCAGTAATCTTCTTTCCCTTCAAACTTTATCCTGCAGTCTTCACATCGATTCTTCACATCATTACCCCCATTGTTCAGCTACAATCAATTTTTTAATAAACTGTTCTGTCCCTACCTGATATTTTTACTCTTGGTTTTCATTCATTATAGGTAGCCCTCAACTTACGACCACAACTGAACCCAACATTTCTGTTGCTAAGTGAGAAATTTGTTAAGTCAGTTTTGCCCCATTTTACAACTTTTCTTGCCACATGTGTTAAGTGAATCACTGTGTTTGTTAAATCAGTTAACACCGTCATTAAGTTGATCCAGTTTCCCCATTGACTTTGCTTGTCAGAAGATGGCAAAACATGACCCCTGCATGGGACACTGCAACCGTCATAATTGGGAGTCAGTTCTCAAGCATCCGAAAGTAAATCATGTGACCACGGGGATGCTGCAACGGTCATCAGTGTGGAAAATGGTCATAAGTCACTTTTTTCATTGCTGTTGCAACTTCGGTCACTAAAGTGAACTGTTGTAAGTCGAGGACTACCTGTACTTCCCATCTACCACGTTGTCTTTTTTTTACTTCCGGATCTCACCGTGCATTTATATCCCACCTGCTTTTTTGGGGCTTTCTTTCGAAAGCAATTTCCAGGAAGCCTCAATTCTGTTTCCCCCCCCCCCTCCCACCCCCGCGTTCTTGTGACGCTTCTCCTTTAAGTCCTTGGAACAACCTCCTGGGCGTGGCTTCGGGGTCTGCGTGGTCTTAGCGGTGGAACTGGGTGGGGGGGGGTTGGGAGTCCTTAGACTTCGGCTCCCGAGAGGTAAGTGCGAGCGGGCTTCCCCAGACTTTTCCAAGACATCGGGGTCCTCCATCCCCTTTAAAAGGCCCAAAGAACCTTGCTGGTTGTTGGGTTTTCTAATTCACACAACCTTTTTATTCATTCCCAGCTCCTTCCTGCATCCCCGATTTCTCACGGGACTGAATGCTTCAATGCTCCTCTGCAAATCTTGTGACGTTGATTTCCCTCTTCGTTGTCATTAGTGTAACCCCCTCGCAAAACCCTCCCCTCCCGGGCAACTGAGAGGCACAAATTTGGTCTCCCCAAATCTGAGATCTTTCCCCAATTCTCCCCCCCACACACACACACACACTCCCGTTCCTGCTTCCTGCAGCCCCTTAAAGGAACTTAGTTTGCCTGTTCTTTCCTTTGCACGTCACCCTGTCCAAATAAGGGGCCCAGTGTATCAAACGGGGATGGGAGGGGGAGGCCATCGTTGCTTTTAGCCCATTGTCTTAAAAGAGTTGCTTTTAATGATTTAGCATTCTTCTTTCCTGGCTGCGCCCAGGAATCTTATAGAGTCTCTTGGCTAACTCCCAAATGAACCCTCTTTGGAAAGTTCCAGGATATAAATCTCTTGCAACCAACAACCCCCCCCCCACCGGCTAGGCGATTTCCACCATCTTACCCTGTTCCTTCCCTCAGCTGTTGCTGCTACTCCAGACTAAAAGACAAGCATCTCAAAGATCAGGGGTTGGAAGAGCCAGAGGGAGAAAAAAAATTGGCTTATAATGGTTTAGAACAAGGTAGGCCAGCAGCTGGCTGGGCAAGGTTGCAAGACAGACACATGACATATTGGGGGGTGGGGGGTGGGCAAGTTTAGATAAAACAAGGAACTAAAATGCAGAAAAGCTCTAAAATGCCACCTGCTGCAATGGTCCTGAGCAGCTGTTGGCCTGTCTTGTGACCATGTCTTCCTTTCTCTTTCTCCAGGTTAGGCCCTGAAACCCCCTCCCTACCCCCAAGTCCTCTTGCCCTTGCTTTCATCTTCTTGAGGCCATGCCACTGACCCGCAGCCTGTCCGTGACCTCCCTCTCTGGGTTAGAGGACTGGGAAGATGAACTTGACCTTGATAATGCCATTCTTTTCGAAGTGGCTTGGGAGGTAGCCAATAAAGGTATGTGATGACTATTTTTAAAGAAGATCTTGGGAAAATGATCAGGTTTCCAAAGTTGGGGGAGGAGAGTATTTGGGAATTGGAAGGCCTGAATTTCTTGTGGGAATATAACTGGGAACAGATTCTACAGAGCTATTTGCAAGCCGAAGTATGAGCAGTATTGAAAGAACTGAGACCAGAATTCAAGTATCATTTTGATCATGTGACCATGTGGATGCTGCAACAGTTGTAAGTGTGAAAATCGGTCATAAGTCACTAGTCACATAAGTCACAAAGTTTCAGTGTAACTTTGAACGGTCACTAAATGAACTGTTGTAAGTTTGAAGACTACCTGTAGAAACGAAGACTTATCTGATTGCTGGTCAAAGACTCTTGGTTGAGCAGATAGTAAACGATAAGGCCTAATCGACCAGTATGTTGGCAACTCATTGAATTGTGGAAGGGCGTGATATGGAGACAAAAAAAATATGGGAAACAGGTTGTCCGTCTCTCTTTTTAAAAATGATTAAGCAGCATGCTGAATGTTAAAGCAAAAGGTTTGTATTTTAAAAAACACTCATTTGGGGGGACAGGAAGTTCATGTAATGTTGCAGTTCCTTCCAAGCAACATTGCTCAGCACTTTAGGAGATCCTTTAGGGCTTAGGCCTTTCCCCTCCCTTTGTTGTTCTCAGATCCTCCCATCCATAAATCTTTCATGTATGGGTTACTGCTGTCTGAGATGACCCTACCCTATTATAGTGAACATTTCCAGGGCAGTCCAGTTCAGCAAGCTGCTATCACTGTGTGTTCATTGAGAAGATCCTCTTCTGGAATCAGACGCTACACATCTGGAAGTTTAAGGCACTGTGATCCAAAGGATAATGTTTCAGGCTGACTTTCGCTGTAGTAACGTGACTGTGTCAAAAAACCAGAAAAGTGCTATGTTCTTTAAAAAAGGATAAGGTTTTCCAGTAAATCTGAATATCTACCAATGTTACTATAAAACTATTCTCATGCCCTTGTTTTAGGAATAACCGCTTTTGAAGCTAATTAAAGATCTCTCGGCCTGCCTTGAATTTTGAGCATCTGCTGTGCATATTCTTGATGTATACTCAATAATATATCTGTGTGTGAAATACATACAACCCCCACTACCACAACCTCACCTGCATAATAAACTTTTTGAAATGTTATTCATTCCTTGAGAAACTGCATCCTTTTAGATTCTCAACTACAGCCCAGGATAACTACTTTGAACAGCAGGTGGCCAGTGAGCCCCAGACATATACTGAATTTTTTAGTGTATTAAAGATTATTCTACCTGGATTATTTTACCAAGCTCTCTAGAGTAGATCATGCCACCAGTCACCGAACATACGCAGGATGCAGGAAACCCAGGATCCTTTTTAAATAGTCCTGTTTCTAATTCTCAAAACCAGTAAAAAGGTGCTTTTGCCTGTATACCTTTGAGTAACTCTTGATTCCTGCTGAATACCTGCGTAAGTCCTTGCAGTTCACTTGGCAACATTTTTAAAAGTGATTTACTATTGCTTTTGTCCTAGGGCTGAAAGAATGACTAGCCTAGTGGCCTATGTCAACCACCTAGCTTCATGCCTAAAACAGGATTAGAACTCATGGTCTACAACAAAATGGTCTACAGAATTGTTGGTGCATGCAGGGACCTGGTGGATAACAATTGTAAACTAGAATCTGTTTAATGCAGCGAATCCTGCTGAATCCAGTGGTTTTCACTTCCAAGCCAATACAAATGGAATTTGTACTGTCATTTTTGCAAAGGAGAATGGGTTTTAATCCTTTTTATGAAGGTACATACCTATATACTATACACCTATTAGATTTTGAAATGCCACATTTCACTTTAAATATTTTATCACCAGGAATGACCATGTCAGAAAAATATTTTAGACAACCACTTGTATTTTCAACTAAATGTTGCAGCGTGAAATTCTGCTGGTCAAGCTTTTTGTCCCTTAATTTCATACATTTCCTCTGTTTTTAATCTGCCTTCTCAACAAACTATTAGTAGAATGACTTTGTGATCTTTTCCCACATTTTTTTCCTATTTTTTTAAAAAAAATCTGCATAGGGCCTTTCCCTGAATTTACCACAGGTGTTGCCTTTTTCTTGTCAATGGGTGACATCATTTTGCTACTAAAGATGATGATCTTCATTGGAATAAGATGATGATACTCAGGGCTATCTCGGCCTCTGCACAAGGTAGATGCCTCGGTTGTTCCCTCAGAAAAGGCTACCTGCATATTTTGTGGCCTATCTCTGTCCTTCGCCCTGTGATCATTTGCAGAACTCTCTCATCACTTATGTCCAAGTAAGTAAGTAAGAATAAAGAGGCATAAGGGTTTTTTTTGCTTCAGGCAAGAATATTTCTTGGAGAAGCCTTGGATCCTCTGAACAGATTGCAAATACATTCAGTAAAGGCTACGTTCACCATGGAATGCAGGATACGAAATCTTGGGTGTGTGATGCAGGCACCCAGAGAAATGGGACAGAGTTCAGCTTATTGTTCATTTTCCCCTCTCTGGACCTTTAGTTGACAACTGACTGCAGCTCCAAGGTGAGACTGGCCTAGAGCTATAGAGAGAGAAGCAATGCCCTGTCATATCTATGTGAGAGTACTTCATTTGCCTAGTTCTAAAATGCCTTAGAAAAGCATATCATATAATTGATGTATGGTAGGAAGGCCAGCCGGAGCTGGTGGGACCACCGCTTGACAGTTGAAGGAAGCATTGAAGACCATCCTTTTGGCTGGTTTCTGGTAACATCTGTCATCCAAAGCCTAAAGGATATGGATTGTGGAATCTGTACAACTTATCTGGATGATGATTATTGGACAGTATTCGTTTTTTGGAAAAGAAGAGTCAGAAAAAAAAGTGTTGATCTGCAGACGAACTTTTTCCCTTGTAAGGAATGCTATTCCCATTTCGCAAAGTATTTTTTTCCATATATTTTTTTCAGAAGTTGCTTTCTGCTTGTCACCAGCACTCCCAACAATCTCATTTGCTCCTAAGAACAACCTCATTTGCTCCCAAGGAGTAGTGAAAAGGCCCTACATCAATTTAAATAAATAAGAATATTTTTATTTTTATTATGAGTGTATTTCCACTTTCCCTGAGTTCTTGAGAGAGCTTCCTTCCTTAACTTTGTGCCCACATCAAGAGCTCTGTAAAGTAGGCTGGCTGGAGCATATGAATGCAATTCCAGACAAGGAGATATGGCAACAAAACCTGGATTATTGATGAATGTTTTATCTAGATCAATCCAGATAAAGGTCTCGTAAATCTTTATCAAGGTGAAAGATCAATTTGTCTGGAAGAGAGAGTTGTTTCATTTGAGGGCAAGCAGTTTCTGATGTTTGAGGGCAGCAGCTCAAGAAAAGTCTCTGAAAACGAATTTAATCTAGTCTTACAAATGAAGGCAAATGTACATGTCCCAGTATAATGTTGCAGAATCCAATCTGGTCGGTCACCAGGACCAGCGGTTTTGTCTTCTGAGCTTTCGGACTCCTACTAGAGCCCATCTTCAGGGAACGTCTTTCTAGCAGAGTATGTGTTAGTTAATCTGGTCTTTTTCATTGTTGTGCTGTTAAGAGTGTTTGACATCTTATGGACTTTGAGAGGGCGGGTTCCTGCCTTGTGTTGCTTACAACATAAAATCTAGTATCCTGAACCAGCAGAGGAAGGAGAGAGTAGTGAGGCAATCAGGAAGCAAGATACGATGTGTGCTTCATATCAAGTAAGTAAGCCATGTGCTTACTTTTTGTTACAAAGTGACTAATAGAAGAGTAATTTACTAATTGGGAGCCTTGCTTAGCATTTTTTAGAAGAGTGTTTAGGGTTGCAGTGTGGGTAAGGGAACAATGTGCTATTAAGGATTTGAGTTAAATTAAGATATTCTTGGGTTTTTTCCTCAGGAGAATTGCAGGATATTTCTTCTCAATGATACATTTGAGAGAGATTTATAGGGACCCAGAAAAAGATTTCAGAAGAAAATATCAAGGTTAAAGGATTGTGCCAAGGACTTCATGGAAAATACTTCGTTTTTCATTTTCTTGTTTCTGAGAGCAAATTCATTGCAAAATGCAAAATGCCCATTCTCTTTCTAGCTAGTTCTGCTATAATAAAGAAAATATCTCATCAATTGAACCCATTAAAGGATTCTTCCCCAGCCTAAGTATGCTCCAGAAGTATGGACTTCAACTCCTAAATTTCCCAGATAGAATGGTGACTGTTAAATTTTGGGAGAAATGGACACATATATAGGACACCCAAACTGGAAAGATTGCCTTAATGATTATTTGGGTAAATCTTTCTAAATGCACACAGTTCCTCAGCAATAAGACATTACTGTTTATTCACGATTCTAAACCTTCATCTCTAGACACAGTCCAAGCTCTGTTTGGTTTCATTGCAACGTTTCAGGTTCTTGTGTTCTGCAGTGCTATTTCCTAATCGCTCTTCCCTCATAGAATATTCATGTGAGTGTTTTTATTGCTTTTCCTGTAAAACTCCCTGTTTGGAAGAGGAAGCAAAGAGCCAAGATTCTTAGGCTCCTCAAGAGGGGAGGAGAATTTAGTTGAGGGAGCCAGGGTCCTTGAGAGTAAAGTAAATAGAGTGGTTTGTAAGTGATGACTGGGTTTGCCTGCTTCCCAGGAAGGGAGTTGGAGTCCAGCCACTCAGAGGAGATTGAATATATGAAGAAAGGTCTTTTATCTGAGTTGTATAGCATAAGACAGACACCCCCACATACACACAGAGGGAGAGAGACAAAGGGCTAAGAACTCAGTTACTCTTGCAGCAATCTTCTGTGCTGGGTATGACTGATAACAGCCTGCCTGCTTCCATAATCCATCTGCTTTTATGTGGGGTGCAGGTATGACAAAACCATGGTTTGTTTAGAGGAATGGAACAAAAAGAATTTTAATTTGATCATAAGATTTAATTTTTGCTTTCTGGTGAAATATTTTAGCTGGACCTGTCAAGTGTCTCAAAAATACAATGTTAAAATAGAGTATAAAACAATTGCACATGAAGCAGAGCAGGGGTGGGCTCCTGGGGTTCATCAGGGTTCAGGCAATTGTCAGTGAACCCCCAAATGCCACCTCTGACTGGCCACGCCCACCATGCCCCTCCACACGGCCCATTCATCATTCCAGGTAAGTGCAGGGGCTGCACGGAGGGTCTGGGAGGGCAAAAAACGGGCCTACCAGAGGTTCCAGAAGCCCGGAAATGGGCCTGTTTCCAGCCTCCGGAGGATCTCTGGACCCTGGTGGGAGCTGTTTTCGCCCGCCCGGAGGCTCAAGAAAAGTCTCCAGAGCCCGGGGAGGGTGAAAAACGCCTCCACACACACACACACACACACACACACACACACACACACACACACCCGTGGTGCAGGCAGTCAACTATGCCAAGCCGACCCAGCAACAGGGCAGCGAACCCATTGCTAAAGGATCTGAAGCCCACCCCTGAAGCAGAATCATAAATATGATATTAAGTGAACTTCTCTGGGAAATCTATTTTGTAATTAGAGTGTCATAAGTCACTAAAAGGCCAAACCAATCTCCTTGATACTCTCTACCACTTTGCTCATTTGGGAAGATCTCATAGAAATAAAAAGCCCTTTAAAAGGAATCTGGAAACAGACTTATCGGCAGAGATTTTAACAAAGACCCCTCAGTGCAATGGAATAAAAATGGGATGCAATCACAAAGGCTCACCAATTACTTGTACAAATTAAATGGATTTCCAAATTGTTTTTAGAAGTTCTATACCCGTGATGGCGAACCTATGGCACGCGTGCCACAGGTGGCACGCGGAGCCATATTAGTGGGCACTCCAGCTCAGCTCTGGGGCGCATGCACGCGCTAGCCAGCTGATTTTCAGGCCTTCTGGGCCCACCAGAAGTAGGGAAACAGGGTGTTTCCTGCCTCTGGAGGGCCTGGGGGTGGGGTGGGGAAGGCCCGTTTTTCTTTCTTACCTGGCTCCTGATCCTCTCTGTGTATCTGGGAAGGGCGAAAACAGCCTTTCCCACTCCCTTGGAGGCCCTACGGAGGCTGAAAGGGCCCATTTCCCCACTCCTGGTGGGACAGGAAGTGACGTTTTTTCCTGTTCCCAGCCTCCAGAGACTCCTAGAGAGGCTCCTACAGACTCGTAGAGAGGCTCCTACAGACTCCTAGAGAGGCTCCTACAGACTCCTAGAGAGGCTCCTACAGACTCCTAGAGAGGTTCTTGAGGCTGGGGACAGGAAAAAATGTCACTTCCTGTCCCACCGGGAGTGGGGAAATGGGCCCTTTCAGCCTCCGTAGGGCCTCCAAGGGAGTGGGAAAGGCTGTTTTCACCCTTCCCACATACACAGAGAGGATCTGGAACAAGTAAGAAAGAAAAACGGGCCTACCAGGCCATCATGTGCCAGGAGCGGAGGGGGGAGGGGGTTGCGCACGCATGCGAGTGGGCACGTGCGCGCGCGACCCTCCCCCACCCCACCCCTCTCCTGGCACGCAATGGCAAAAAGGTTAGCCATCACTGTTCTATATATTTAGTTCATTTCAATTACTGAAACAGCCATTGGGGCCAATAGCCAACAACAAACCAGTTTCCCATGCATTAATCAAAGTTATTTTTAAAGTCATGTTTAGATTGGTAAGATGCTGTAATTCAGCTTTGATCATTTTACCTTGATCTTCATCTGATAAGTGGGTGACTACAATTCCTAGAATTCCTCAGCAGCATAGTTGAAAACATTGCATTATCAAAATCTCCAGTAATTTAAGAGGGATTATATGAAAAAATATACTACTTTGTCTCTGCTGGAGCCACCGCTGATGAATTTTATATTTAGAGTCAAGTGAGCATAGACAAATCAGATACTGAAATCTCTACGTTCTTAGATTTATTTTAAACAAGTTTATATTGCTTGTCACGTATTCAGGATGTGTTAGCTTATCTATACAATGTAGAAGAATAAATTACATTAAATAAATCTATTAGAGCAGATTTTCCCAACTTTGGCAACTTTAAGAGTTGCCCTGAATCCAGTGGGAGAAGGGCGGTATAAAAATCTAATAAAATAAATAAATAAAGATGTATGGACTTCAACTTCCAGAATTCCCTAGCCAGCAAAATTGTATTACCAACAAATTTACATTGCTCTAAAGCTTCTTGATTAAGGTGGGGTGCTTAGGATAATTTACAAGCTTGCAAGAAAAAAACAAATACCTTATTCTTTCTTCTTTTAGTTGGTGGGATCTTCACTGTTATCCAAACTAAAGCCAAGATTACACTGGATGAATGGGGCGAGAATTACTTCCTGATTGGACCTTACCTGGAATTGAATGTGCGCACACAGGTGGAGCTGATAGAACCTCCCAACCCTGCAATTCGCCGAACCATTGACTCCATGAATTCAAAAGGATGTAAAGTAAGAGACTGCAGGATGAGGGGAAGAAAAATGTGTGGGACTTGGGCCTCAATGGGCTTAATTCTCATAAACAATTTCTTGCCTCTATTGGGGAGGAAAATTTATGGATAAATTGGTACACCATGAATATTCAATTCCGTTCATTGCAATTCTAATTTAAAAGGGATATTAGATAGCTGGTGATAGGTAAAAGCTCTACTTTTAGGCTGCAAGAAAGAATTTCAAATCAGAGGAGACGAGAGATTAATAACTTTGTCTCTGAGGAATCTACATAGATGCATATCCAGCTTGCTGTTTCCTCTTGGACTAACCAACATAATGCCAAGCATAGAAAAGATGTAAAAATGATAAGCTGGAGAAATGAAGGCATTGTAAGAAAAGTACAGTTAGTTCTTGACTTACAACCAGAACTGAGCCCAAAATTTCTGTTGCTAAGTGAGACATTTGTTTCCTGAATTTTGCCCCATTTTATGACCTTTCTTGCATTTGTTAAGTTAGTAACATGATTGTTAAGTGAATCTGGCTTCCCCGTTGACTTTGCTTGTTGGAAAGTCGCAAAATGTGATCACATGACTCAGGGATGCAACCCTGTAACCATCATAAATGTGAGTTACCTTGCCAAGCATCTGAATTTTGATCACATGACCATGGGGATGCTGCAATGGTCATAAGTATGAAAAACAGTCATAAGTCACTTTTTTCAGTGCCATTGTAACTTTGAATGGTCACTAAATGAACTGTTGTAAGTAGGGGACTACCTCAAAATTTGCAGAATGAGGTCACAGCAATGACCCACTTGGTTCCAGAAAACTAGAAACTATTCCAAGATTCCAGAAATTATTTGAAAACATTATTCACTGACCATATCACCATATTCTGAGTGTCATTCCTTTTAATACAAATAAAATATTATTAATCATATTTGTTACATTTAGCAAGCTTATATGATTCTAATAATAATACACATACGTGTTAAGTTGTAACCTTCCATTATTTAGCTATATTTCAATATGTTATTTTTATGCCAATCACCATATTATTCAAGCATACTTTATAATACCATCGTTCAGGTTCTGCTTTCCCCTCTTGTTATTACTTCACCTTATTAAATAAAAAATGTGTATTCCATTAATCCCCCTCTCTCTAGTTTCCATCCCTATTCTAACTTTTAATTATGCCACTATTATATTTAAAAATATTCTCTTTCTATCTATCGTCTCTTGCCCTCTTTAAAGCTTTAATTGTTCGTTTCTTAGCTTGCCTCCCATATTCCTCTCTTGGATCTTTATCTCGATCTGTTTCCACCTCTTGACCAATCATTTTAAACATTTCTCCCTTCTCTGCCATTTTCCATTGTCTAATTTTCAAAATATCTATTCTTGCCCCCATCTCTCTTCAAAAAAAGTATTCCTGCAACGCCAGTTCCTTTTTTAATTCCCTTAAAATACTCTCCCCTTGGCTTATTTCATCAGTCATTATTATTTTTGTTATCTCCTTCTTGTCATCTTGTTTTATTTGTTGGTTTATCTGTTCTGGTTTTTTTCATCTGCTCTTTTAATTGGCTCCTCCTCTTCCTGAGCGTCTTGGTCACTCCTTGTCCTATGTATCATATTCTCCAGCTTTTCATATATGCTCTGTATTTTATTCATAATCTCCTTGTAGCTTCTTGTCAAAGTATCCTTAATACTTTGAATTATCGACGCCATTTCTTCCCATGTTCCACTTATTTCTTGCTGGTGGAGCATCTCGTTTAGTTTTATTTTTTTTCTTCTTTTGTCCAATAATCCAAAAACCATATATTCAAACCAAAGTCAGTTCTCAAAAAGTTCAATATTCATAAATCTTTACATCTCAAAGCTGATCGACCTATTCCTCTGGATAATTCCAAACTTTTTTCCAGAACCTTCATAAGTCCCTCTATAAGTTCAGTCTTGTGTTGTAGCCTTCAGGGGTCACTTTAATAATAATGTCTTTCTTATTCTCATGTTTAATTATTTCCAGGATTTTGGGAATATGTTATGCCTTTCTTTTAGTAGCAGCTGGCACTCATAAGTCAAATTTCAATATTAACCAGTTTCATCCAATTTTAATGGAAACAATCCAAAATATAAAGATGATGTTAGTTTTTTTAATAGTTCCAGCATTTTGAAATGCCTATCTGAAACAATGCCTGTCCAATTTAGAAATCCAATTTTCTGTATTTTTAAAGGTTTTTGCCTTTCTTCCTTTGATTTCTTTTTCCTTCAATTTTGAAATTCTTCTCAAAATTAGCAGTGAGCCTCTCTTTTCCGGGATATTCTTTTGGGGTTGAGTTTTAAATAAAAAGGATTCTTCTCACCCAGTTCCAGACACTGTTCACCGACTCCACTCCAGTACAGTTCTTAGGTGTTTCTTGGCTGTCCCAGCTTTGTGGCAGCCATCTTTAGGCTGCCTCTTCTCCTCCCCATGGCATAGAGGGAAAAAAGCCCGGGGTTCAGCAAGAGAGTTGCAATGTCTCCCGTGACCTCTTAGGGTGCCCCTCCTTAGCTTCTCCACCCCTATAAGGCAGCTTTGGCTCCTCTCAGAGCTCACTAACAGGGAGAACACCGCACAGGGAACGCGGAAACCCGTTCCCTGTGTCTGATATCATCACGATGTCAGCCGGAAGTCTCTAAGAGAACTCCATTCTGTTGCTTCCCTTCTGATATATTCAACTTTCATTTCCATGTAAAATGTAGGCAGCATCCATTTTATATCTTTCAACAGACATTCTCATAATAGACCATATACAGTATATTTTTTTCAACATTTGTACAGCTTAAAATTTGTCCATTTCTCTATATTTAACAAACATCATGGATACAAATTCGTCCATTTTTTTCCTTTCTGAATAATTTACAAATGTTCATTTTTGTTGTCAAATGTAAGTACTTTGATTTCTGATAGCAATAACACTTAGACTTATATACCGCTTCACAGTGCTTTATAGCCCTCTCTAAGCAGTTTACAGAGTTAGCATATTGCCCCCAACAATCTGTGTCCTCGTTTTACTGACTTCAGAAGGATGGAAGGCTGGGTCAACTTTGAGCCTGGTGAGATTCGAACTGCCAGATTGCAGGCAGGCAGCAGAAGCAGCCTGCAGTATTGCACTCTAACCACTGCACCACCTTGGCTCTGATAGAGTGTTTAGAGCTGTAGTTCTTATTGTATCATATACTCTGTCTAATATTTGTTGGAAATCATTTATGCACATAAAAATGCACATATATTCATGTCCCCAAACTACACAACTGTAATAATAATTTCAAGCATTATCCATGAATGCGTTAAGCAATCAAGGGGAGGTCACCCATTCTTGTCTTACTTCCTGTTTAGTGTTGAATCATTACTTAAGAATTCGGTTATAAAATTACAGTTGGGCAATCAACCTTCCTATTTTATAATTTCATGTTTTTACTATTTTCTCCTGTTACATTCCAAGTTACAGTATTTCATAATCATTGATCACCATTGGATGAACCCATGTATCTCTACCATCCAGATTTTGATCAATCCAGATTTTTAGATACAGTAATACTTTTTAATAAGTTGAAAAAGATGTAGACCATGTTTCCTTGTGAGTCAGACCATGTCACATGCTTATAGTATAGAAACTTATGATCAGTTTTGTAATATGTTGGCCAATCTAACAGAGACTTCCTTGTAAACCAATATCGGTAGTCCTTAATTTACGACTACAGTTGAGCCCAAAGGTTCTGTTGTTAAGTGAGACATTTGTTAAATGAGTTTTGCTCCATTTTACATATACCTTTGATACATTGAAAAAGACAAGAAGACAAAAAGAAATGATTCCTAGTTAAATAAATTAGAATTAAGATCACATGAAGTGTTAATACCACTTTATAATGCCTTGGTAAGACCACACTTAGAATATTGCATCCAGTTTTGGTTGCCACAATGTAAAAAAGATGTTGAGATTCTAGAAAGAGTGCAGAGAAGAGCAACAAAGATGATTAGGGGACTGGAGGCTAAAACATATGAAGAACGGTTGCAGGAACTGGGTATGTCTAGTTTAATGAAAAGAAGGACTAGGGGTGACATGACAGCAGTGTTCAATATCTCGGGGGTTGCCACAAAGAAGAGGGTGTCAAGCTATTCCCCAAATCACCTGAAGGCAGGACAAGAAGCAATGAATTGAAACTAATCAAGGAGAGAAGCAACCTAGAACTAAGGAGAACTTTCCTGATAGAACAATTAATCAGTGGAATGATTTGCCTCCAAAAGTTGTGGATGCTGCAACACTGGAAGTTTTAAAGAAGAGATTGGACAACCATTTCTCTGAAATGGTATAGGGTTTCCTGAGCAGTGGGACACCAGGTTTCCTCAGCAGGGAATTGTACTAGAAGACCTCCAAGGTCCCTTCCAACTCTGTTATTCTGTTAATTAAATGGGACCTCCATCAATGGGAGAAATGGGGCCAGATTATGAGAGAGGTGAAAACTTTGCTTAAAGACTGCTTAGAAGCCTCAATTTTCCTTCAGCCGGCAAAGATGCCTTGGTCTTTTGCAATTGGACTATTTTGCACCTGAACACTTTAACATACTTTGAAAGAAGCTGAGGAAATCACAATTGCCCTGCTAGTTTTTTTTGCAGGACTAGGACTGTGGAGGTTCTGCCCAGGTAAAGGCATCCTCAGAGATTTTAATCATCTTCTCCCTCAAGGAACATTCTCCATCTTTAGACCATCTCCAGGGGTGACTCTAAACATTTCTGCCTGTTGGTGGGCCAATATTTTTCATCTTTACATCAAGAGAAGTTTGGGGTTCCCACATGAGAGGATTAGAAAGAAATGTTATTTGTCGTTGAAGATCTTTCTAATTTGTTTTTACTTCTTCTCAACATCCAAATCCATGAAGATACGGCATGAAAATGGAGATCCCACCCAAATCCGTGGCTCCTGAAAGGCTGCAAAATGTTTTTAGGAAATTTGAGGTAAATTTATGCAACAGGCCATTATTCTACAGACCTCAAAATTGCATTAGCGTGATGCAACTGACAAGTATGGGAAATATTTGCATGGGAAGGCATCTTCTTTCAAGGTGCAGGTGTAGAAGAAAGGGGAATCTCTGGTCTTCTAAAGTTGTTAAACTCCAAACTCAATGACTTGGATGAGGGGATAGTTGGGGAACTCATCAAATTTACAGACGACACCAAGCTAGCAGGAATAGCCAACATTCCGGAAGATAGGCTTAAGATACAGAAGGATCTTGACAGACTTGAACATTGGGCGTTACCTAACAAAATGAAATTCAACGGTGAAAAAAGCAAGGTTTTACATTTAGGGAAGAAAAACAAAATGCACAGGTACAGTATATGTGGTACCTTGCTCAATAGTAGTAACTGTGAGAGGGATCTTGGAGTCCTAGTGGACAACCATTTAAATATGAGCCAGCGGTGTGCAGCAGCTGCCAAAAAAGCCAACACAGTTCTAGACTGCATAAACAGAGGGATAGAATCAAGATCATGTGAAGTGTTAATACCACCACTTTATAATACCTTGGTAAGGCCACATTTGAAATACTGCATCCAGTTTTGGTCATCACGATGTAAAAAAGATGTTGAGACTCTAGAAAGAGTGCAGAGAAGAGCAACAAAGATGATTAGGGGACTGGAGGCTAAAACATATGAAGAACGGTTGCAGGAACTGGGTATGTCTAGTTTGATGAAAAGAAGGACTAGGGGAGACATGATAGCAGTGTTCCAATATCTCAAGGGCTGCCACAAAGAAGAGGGTGTCAAGCTATTCTCCAAAGCACCTGAGGGCAGGACAAGAAGCAATGGGTGGAAACTAATCAAGGAGAGAAGCAGCTTAGAACTAAGGAGAAATTTCCTGATAGTTAGAACAATTAATCAGAGGAACAACTTGCCTTCTGAAGTTGTGAATGCTTCAACACTGGAAGTTTTTAAGAAGATGTTGGATAACCATTTGTCTGAAGTGGTGTAGGGTTTCCTGCCTAAGCAGGAGTTGGACTAGAAGACCTCCAAGGTCCCTTCCAACTCTGTTGTTCTATTCTATTCTAATTCAGTGAGAATCACGACAAAGATGAGAATGAGGAGAGTTGTGGTTCCATGACTGCTAAAGGACCCAGGGAGTCTCATGTCAGCTTTATAGTCACTAGAACACTATTAAGCAAAAGGTTTGTATTGTGGGATTTTATGCTGCTGCATATCTGTAAAAAAGTCTTGCTAGAAATACATCAAAATATTAAAATAATGCCCAGTTGTCTTTTCATTGTTGGTTATTGTACAAATGCAAATAGCCACATTTGCTGACATTCCTTTCCTGCAAGAAGGTAAAACCAATCAGGCAGGAAAAATATATTGTTATGTTCTAATGCATTTGTGGGGCTTCACACACATATATATAAAGCCAACTATATAAAGCTGTTTAAACCATGATTTATGATTTTTACAAGTCCCCTTTAATTAAACTGTGGTTAATCAATGGCAGAGTCCACCCACTGTGACAAAATTCAGGGTGATGGATACAGCTCCCAAAACTAGGATTATAAATCCGGCACAGATTTGTATATTGTTCATCCAATTAGTCAAGAATTTTGGCTTATCTTTGCATCATTTAAATACTGGTTCCAAATTGGTTACGATAACAAAGATACTATGATCAGCTCCCTGATGAAACAGTTAGTAGTAAGTGAGTAGGAAAACATTGGTATAAAAAACAAACTTAAATGTATGCTGGAACTATTGAATATAGATATTAACTATTTTGAGTATGGAAGTATATATATATATTATGTACATATACATATACATATACATATACATACATACATACATACATACATACATACATACATATATATATATATATGATACATTCAATACTCCCTCTTGTTTACTTGATTTTTCTAGTTCCTAACTTCATTTCAGAGCAAGAGGTTATTTTGGGTTGCTCAGCAAAAAAACAACCCCAGGCAAGCGACCTTTTATAAAATGGAGATGAGGTAACATGAACCAGACTCTAAATTTAGAGATCTACACACACTTGATGCACATATCTCTGCACATTTTGGTATGTGAAATGAGTGGACAAGGGGTGATGATATCATGGGTTAAAAGCAGGTCTGAGAGATGAAGGAGAAAAAGAGTGTTATGGATTAAAATGGAGGTCACAATTTACAGAGTCCACTTAAAATGAGGAGAATTTGACAGTTAAAAATAAGTTATTGAGATATTCTCATCAGATTTGGAAGTCTGTAAAATCTGAAGTGCAGACGTCATGATCTAAGCCACCTTGCATGTACAGATTGCACACTAAATGTATACATACCGTAAATAGTTTTTAAAAGTTTATTTCATAATTCCATTGATAAATCTAATGGATATAAATTGGGCCCTTGAAGTATTTCAACTTCTGCATAAAAACGGGGATTATATTTCTAGCACACAAAACAAAAAAAACAATGTTTGAACCTGTAAATGGGCAGAGCTGAAAATCCAGATGATTTAAAGTAGAAATATATAGAGAACTTCCTTATATAGGATCCCTCTTCTTTTTTATTCCTCACTTTGATATTTACCTTTTTTTGCTGTATGCAGTGTGCTGATTCATCATTTATTTTTTTCCTGAAATTGTAAAATGTACATTCCTTCAAGAATCTGAGAGATGAAATGCTTATAGAACATAGCCTCATGAGTGTGGATATTATTAAGTTGATGATAAAACTTGCTCAACTGAGCACTGACTTTTACAATTGATACTTTGTTGGTTGTGTTTTAGAGAATATTTCTGGATTAGATACAAAAATATCAATCCATATCTCTCCTATTCATTAATCTGTTGTCTCTAACTTCTTTCTAGGTTTACTTTGGCCGCTGGCTGATTGAGGGGGGTCCATATGTGATCCTTATCGACATTGGGGCAACTGCTTGGAGCTTGGATCGCTGGAAAACTGAATTGTGGGAAAGCTGCTCCATTGGGATTCCTTGGTATGACCGAGAGGCCAATGACGCCGTCCTCTTTGGCTTCCTCACAGCCTGGTTCCTAGGGGAGGTAAGGGAACATGTTTCTATCAGAAAACTTATTCTCTTCCTCTCTCCCAACATCTTTCTCGTCACTCTCTTCTTGTGCTTTTTGTACAGTTTTCCGCACAATGTGAAGAAAAACCATTCATCATTGGTCATTTCCATGAGTGGTTGTCTGGTGTTGGCCTCTTCCTCTGTCGGATCCGGAAACTTCCAATAGCTACCATCTTCACTACCCATGCTACCCTGCTTGGTCGCTACCTGTGTGCCGGCAGTGTGGACTTCTACAACAATCTGCAGAATGTGAGTCTTCTAATCGCTAGAATTGAAAATCGATTGGTGGGTGGGGTATGAAACTATGTGATCGAAGAACAAGGGGAAGAAATAGGAATTCGTGGAAGTGTGGCACTCAGATAAATCAGCCGTCAACAGTCATAGAGATATAAACAACATCTACATATCATTCAAAAGAGACAATCAAAAAGCTAAAAAGAAAACAAAATGACCAAAACAGCTCTTTGCCTGCCATCAGTACTTGGATATCTAGAAATTAACACCAAAATTAATACTAGATCAACAATCGAGCAGTAAGCAATACTCCACTCAAGGAACTACCAACTCAGACAAACAATCAAACAGTAAACAACAGCCTGATCAAGGAGCCACAAAGACCACTCCCACCAACACAATCAGAGCAAGTCTCTTGTACAGAAACAGAGTAAGCCCAACTTTCTGTAGCACTGATAATATTACCTAGTATGGTAATGAAATGTTTGTAAGAAAACCACCAAGCCCAGAGAACACTAACGATTCCACAGTTCAACTCTGAGCTGCAAATATTCTCTTCTGTTGGTAGAAATGGGAAACACTGACCTATCCTGTTTTTGCCTTTTTTATTGCGTGCTTTGGGCTGCTCAGGGAATAAGAACTTTTCTTTCAACTACCCTCAATTCTGCATCAAAGGCTCAAGTTCTTATCTTCCCATCTCCCAAAATTCCTACATAGGAGGTGGCGATACAGTGCCTTTAAAATTCCTTGTAGGTGTCCAATGATAGCTCTGCCAATTAAATAGATATTAAAAAGCAGCTGCAATCTCACAAAGTTTCTGTTCTTATATGTGCAAGATTTCAAAGTGTTTTTATTTTTAATTTTGAGAGCAAATTATTGCCTGAGGTTACGCCTAAAGAGATTGCTGACCCTTACCATCTTAGCTTTTCATTCAACTCTTTAGCACATAAATGAAGCAGTTCTAGGAAACAGGAACCATTTTTCCCTTAAGGAAACAGTGGTTAAAGAAATCACACTTAATCAGGCCATAAGTAATATTTTTACTGCAGGGAAAATATGATTCAGTGCTCCTCCCCACCATGTTATGACCCCTGTAATAATTAGTGTTCTGGAAATACGTCTATTGGATTGTCTTTTTTTTTTTTTTGCTTTAATTTATATGCCGCCCTTCTCTGGAGACTCAGGGCGGCTTACAATGCGTTAAGCCAGTGGTTCTCAACCTGTGGGTCGGGACCCCTTTGGGGGTCGAATGACCCTTTCACAGGGGTCACCTAAGACCATTGGAAAACACATATTTTCAATGGTTTTAGGAATAATTTTATTGTTGGGGGTCACCACAACATGAGGAACTGTATTAAAGGGTCCCAGCATTAGGAAGGTTGAGAACCACTGCGTTAAGCAATAGCCTTCATACTTTTGTATATTTATACAAAGTCAGTTTATTGCCCCCACAATCTGGGTCCTCATTTCACCTACCTTTGAAAGGATGTAAGGCTGAGTCAACCTTCAGCCTGTTGAGATTTGAACTTGCAGTAATTGCAAGCAGCAGTTGTTAATAACAGTGCTTTAGTCCACTGTACTACAGGCTCTTGTCTTGAATAACAGTGGACAGTACCTGTAATATTACAATGTTCCATTAGATTGAATACAATAATAAGACCTTGTCACTTTCCATTGTTTTATTTTCTTTAATGAGAATGATCTCATTTCCCACATATGTAATTACGGTAGGCATCTTTGCTCAAAAAGGCAATGTGTCTATATATGTTAACATCTCCAGTCTATTTCGTAGGCATAGTTAGACTACTATCATTTCAGAAATGAAATACAGGTAGTCCTCGCCTTACAACAATTCGTTTAGTGACTATTCAAAGTTACAATGGCACTGAAAAATGCAACTTATGACCATTTTTCACAATTAAGACCTTTGCAGCAGAAATTTTGGGCTCAATGATGGTCATAAATCGAGGACTACCTGTAGTTGGAACTGGATTAATGAAAGAAAACACTAAAAAAAAAAAGCTACCCTCAGTTTTTCTGTCTAGGAACCCATTTCTTAGCACTTGTGAGAAGAATACAGAAGAGTTTCACAAAGAAAAAATGTAGAATTAAGTTCTTGGAAATCAAACTACTGGATTGCAATCTCCTTTTTTTCAACTTTCAAGATAGCCCTTGACTTACGAAAGTTCATTTAGTGACTGTGAAATTACAACTTCACTAAAAAGAAGTGTTTTCTGACTGTTTTTTACACTTAACGACCATTGCAGCATCCTCATGATCATGTGATCAAAATTTGGGTGATGGGCAACTGATTCATATTTATGACGGTTGCAGTATCTCATGGTCATGTGATCACCTTTTGCAACCTTCTGACATGCAGAGTCAATGAGGAAGCCAGATTCACTTAACAACCGAGTTACTAATCTACATAACAACTGCAGTGATTCACTTAACAACAGTGGCAAGAAAAGTCATAAAATGGGGCAAAATTCACTTAACTGTTTCACTTAGCAACATAAATTTTGGGCTCAATTGTGATCGTAAATTGAGGACTACCTGTACTATAATTTAAACTGAAAGCTGTATTCTTTCCTGCTTTTACTCCGTGCAATTCTGTGTGTTTTAGGATATTTAATACACTTTGTCTTGTCCCCAGTTTAATGTGGATAAGGAGGCTGGAGACCGGCAAATTTACCATCGATATTGTATGGAGAGAGCTGCTGTCCACTGCACACATGTTTTTAGTACAGTTTCTCAGATCACAGCTGTAGAAGCTGAACATCTGTTAAAACGGAAACCTGGTGAGTTGCCTTAAAAGCTAAAAGATTGCTCTGTGTGACAAGATCGTATCCAGTTTAAGTCTTCTTTGGATTTATGAATATACCAATAATATTACAAGGAAATCAGCTGCTTTGCGTAGAATGCAGAATCTCAAAGTGTTGTAGTTTTTAATGAAATTTTCTAGTCCTTAAACAATGCTAATCAGGCTGTTGGTGCAAGTCGTACATTGAAGCTTGATGTTTAATCTTAGTTTCTTTCTTAGATAGAAAGAATGTCCCAATATAAAATAACAATTTTAGCATTCATTTTAAAAATTCTTAAAAGTATTTTCAATCTTAATATGCACTGTGAATTTTTTACTGCATCCAATGTTTTTTATTAAAAGGACCAGCCTGCTTATTCTTTTTCACACTAAAGAGAGGGAAATGGAGCGGGGAGGAGAATTTATATTCTTATTTGCAGCTAAGACTATTAGTTCTGATTGGCTGGCTCCTTGTGATGTCACAAGACCACTCCCATTCCTTCTCCTTGGGGTCTGTTTTACCCCATCCATTCTTATACATTGAATCAGTTGCTGTCAATGCATTGATCAATTGTATTTCAAAGGATGTTTGAGGAAGCTGAATGCTTCTGTGACTCACATGTGTTTTTCTGCATGGATATCTTTGCCGTTTGGGTAAATTCAGAAACTTAACGTTCTAAAACTCTCCCCACTTTTTACAAACCCATCTCCATATGCATTCCATATCCAGATATTGTGACTCCCAATGGTTTAAACGTCAAGAAGTTCTCTGCTATGCACGAATTCCAAAACCTCCATGCCCAAAGCAAAGCTCGTATCCAGGAATTTGTCCGAGGCCATTTTTATGGGTGAGTTATCATGAACTTCACTTGTATCATATCAATTATAGCAGGTTGCCCTATGAAGTTGAGTTCCTAAGGGAAAAAAACCTGAAGCTAGTAGTGACAAGCGATGTAAGAATATTCATGAATAAGACACTGAGCTTGTTGATTAGAAAAGTCGGCAGTTCAGTGGTTCGAATCCCTAGTACAGGCCTCCTGTGTGAGCAGGGGGTTGGACTAGATGACCTCCAAGGTCCCTTCTAACTCTGTTACTGTTACTGTTAAAAGCAAATGAATATTTGTGGTCCATTCATCTTCCGCAAGGTTAACATAACACACCTTCAAGTGTAAAGTGAAAGCTCTTTTTCCTTTTAAAAGAATACATGTGACTGTAGAAGAAGACACAGAGACTGGGGGTGGAGTGAAGAGAGGAATTAGTCTGGAGTCATTATGTTACCACAAATGATCCAAGTCCAGCCCCTCTTGAATTCTGTTGACTCTTATCTAGTGCCAATTTAAGGCTGACTGTCAGTTGACTAGATTCTTGTGTATAGGCATGATCAATAAATCTTAGCTGGAATTTAACATGTCCTGATTTTAAGCACCTGACAATGACTCAGTTTTGGTCTCTACTTTCTGTATGCCGAGACAGAAATGCCACTTTAACAGCATACAAAAAGGGACAATTGGATGAGGGAGGAACTCTCACAGGAAAGGGAGGATGTAAATTAATGAAAATAGACAATAAATAATGTTAATAACATTCAAAGAAGAGTAGGGGGAATGAACAGATGTTTTTGCTCAAGTCTGGCAAAGTCAGATATTGAGGTATGGAAAAATTTTCCAGGACTCATATGAGAGAAAAATCATTTTTTTCATAAAGAATAAGTTTATAAATGACTAAATCAAGAACTACTGCTTTCTTAATCAGTTTACAGGCATCTGTACATTAATGGAAATAAGACACTGCATTAGATATATAGCTAATCCTTGATTTACAGCCACAATTGAGCCCAAAATTTCTGTTGCTAAGTAAAACCATTGCTAAGTGAGTTTTGCCCCATTTTACAACTTTTCTTGCCACAGATATTAAATGAATCACTGCAGTTGTTAAGTTAGTAACACAGTTGTTAAATGAATCTGGCCTCCCCATTGAATTTGCTGTCTAAAGGTTGCAAAAGGTGATCACAGGATCATGGGACATTGCACATATGTTCCCAAAGCAATTGACTATGGATCTGTATATGCTTCTGTTTTGCTGCCCTCTGTCACAGATCTGACATTTTTTCTGTTTTTTTCCCTTCTTATTTTCTTGTCCACTCTCCTTTCTGTTTTTATTGCACTGAAAACCTACAGAAGGGGCTCTATCTCTTTTTTTTTTTTTTTTTTCCATTTTGCATTCATATTTTGCATGATGACTAATGTTACTAAATAATAACATTGCAATTGGAATTCAGGGAACTATTAAAATGTTCAAAAAAAGGATTTCAGCCAGCTGTGCAGAATGTGTGTGTGTGAATATACACACACATATATACATGTACCGGTATATACACGGACACACCCCAACTATTTTGAAATATATACACACACACACTTCATTTTAAAACAATTGATTTTTGCTGCATGTTGCTAGGGAAGACTCAAAACTATTTAGGTATTCACATTGATCCCATCCATTTAAAAAAAAGCATTTCCCAGCAGTTCAGTTTATTGGGAAGGGTGCGTGATATTACCAGAAAAGTATGAACATTGAAGGATGATTGTATTATGGTTCATACAGATTTGGAAACTGCAAATTTTATTATTTCACTTAAACACCACACCAAACTTAGTTTTGATTTCTTCTCACTAAGGCGTACAATCATTTCTGTTGAGCGTAGCGGCACTTGCTTCTTCATCTTGTGTGGGATGATGTTCCACCACTCCCTATGGATTCCCTGAACTATTTTTGCAATGTTGTCATCGTTGATATAAGCAGCGTTGATATTTCTAATGTTCTAGTGCGTCTTTTGTATTTATTTAGCCAATTTACTTGTCTTGGCTGTTAAATAACATAGGCTTACTGGTTTTTCAAGAAGCTCTGACTTAGACTCAGGTCCACCATCACTGCGTTTTATTTTTCTAGGCACCTGGACTTCAACCTTGACAAAACTATTTTCTTCTTCATCGCTGGACGCTATGAATACTCCAACAAAGGAGCTGACATTTTCTTGGAAGCCCTAGCCAGGCTCAACTACCTACTAAGGGTGATTAGTAAAATGGGTGCTGTAAGGGACAGAGATATGAGAGATGGTGGGTAGGCAATTAGGTGTGGCTGTGTTGAGAGGGTGTGGCCTACAGCAACGCTACGTCCCTGACTGGAACAACTGTGTGTCTCAGGAATTAAATAGCTGTAGCCCAAAGAATTTAGTTGTTGTTTTTGGATTTTGCTTCATGCTTACATTGTTGCGCAGATGAAAGACAATGGAAAGAGCGACTTACACAGGATACATTTGCATGAAAGCAGGAATAATATATTGGAACTATTTCATATTACAAGCTGGCAGGGGTACTAATTGAACCATATCCCAAGAATACTCCATGAAAAGATACTTACAATAGATGAACCCCAGTCTGGCTAGCATCTTTCAATCTGTCCAGCTGAGATATTCTTAGCCATTCTGTCAAGGACATCTCCCTTCAGTTAAGCTCTAGGAAAATGGAAAGGAAGTGAGAGGACATACTGAATTTCAGATCTATATTAGGTGTAGATGTTTACACCACCCTTACTACCACCTAGCTGCAGCCTTTCCTGGGGATGCATGGTAGTTTCATGATTCTTGGAGATCCATGTAGCTGTTACAAGGACATCCCAGGAAACATCCCTGATTTATCTATGTATTCATCCACTTTTCCTCATCTTGCCAAGCATATTCAGTTTTTAGGCCACTGTTCATTTATCAGCCTGGAACATGTGAGTGTCTGCTTTCTAACAAGCATCTCAAGACTCTCATGCTGTAAGACTAATACAAATGATTCATAAGAAATCAGCCACATAGTAGAAGGAGGGGGAGATGGATTTTAAAAAGCAAACTATGAATTCAATTGATTAAACTCTCTTAACATAGGTCAGCTTATCCATTTCTTCAAGGAGCAGTTTTGACCGTACTTAAAAGAACTGTATTGATCTTTCATACCCGGTTTTTGTTGGCTTCTCTCTCTGTAGGTGAATGGAAGCCAGACTACAGTGGTAGCATTTTTTATCATGCCAGCTAGGACAAATAATTTCAACGTGGAGACACTAAAAGGCCAAGCTGTCCGCAAGCAGCTCTGGTGAGTTTGTGTCAGGTTCTGGATCTCATAAATCTGTCCTTTTAACAGACTTCCTTAGGATTCAGGCAGTGTATTCAATGAAATAAGAATCCATTACACCACCCTTTCTGAGCAGGAAAATCAAATTGTCCATACAAGTTCAGTGCATTTGGAAAGGATGTGCTCATACAAGGAAAATCACTCAGATTTATAGTTTGTTCTCTATACAGGTAGTCCTCAATTTACAACATTCATTTAGTGAACATTCAAAGTTACAATGGCACTGAAATGTGCAACTTATGAGCAGTCCTTGCACTTAAGACGATCACAGCATTCCCCACAGACACAGTATGAAAAGTTGAGCATATCGCAACTGGAATATATGTACAATGGTTGCAGCATCCTGGGGTCATGTGATGGCCATTTGCTATCTTCCTAGCACGCTTATGACAAGCGAAGTCAATATGGGAAGCCAGATTCACTTAACTGCATGATGTACTTAGCAACTGCAGTTATTCTCTTAATAACCATGGCAAAAAACAGTCATAAATTAATGACTGTTAATTAATGCCATCTTGTTTAGCAATGGAAATTCTGGTCCCAATTGTGGTCATAAATTCAGGACTACTTGTATGCAAATTAGAGGATTGCAAAGGTAAAATGGGGGAGAATAGAATTGTTCTTAGGCTTTCTTTCACATAAAGCTTAAGCTTTTAGCCTGATGGCTATTACAAGTAGTCCTTGACTTACAACCACAATTGGGCCCAAAATGTATGTTACTGAGTAAAATGTTTGCTAAGTTAGTTTTAGCCCCTTTTATGACTTTTCTTGCCACAGTTGTTAAGTGAATCACTGCAGTTGTTAAGTTAGTAACATGATTGTTGTGAATCTGGTTTTCCCATTGACTTTGCTTGTCAGAAGGTCACAAAAGGTGATCACATGACTCCAGGACACTTCAACTGTCATAATTATGAGTCAGTTCCCAAGCATCTGAATATTGATCATGTGACCTTGGGCATGCTGCAACAATCATAAGTGTGAAAAACGGTCTTAAGTCCCTTTATTCAGTGACGTTGTAACTTTGAACAACCACTAAATGAATTTTGTAAGTTGCAACTTACAAATGAATTTTGTAAGTTGCCGTCGGCCAAACAATGTCGACTGGCGACACCCAGGGGGAGAGCCTTCTCTGTGGGGGCACCAGCCCTCTGGAATGAGCTGCCCCTAGATGTACATATGATCCCCGACCTGCGCACCTTTCGCCGCGCCCTGAAGACCCTCTTATTTCAACAAGCCGGGCTGGCCTAACATGAATATGAATTTTAATGGGTGTATGCTAGTTTTAATTTGTGGGCCAAATTTTTGTATATTCAATTTTAATGGTTTTTTAAATTTTGTAAATTATATGTGTTCTAATATGGCTGTACACCGCCCTGAGTCCTTCGGGAGAAGGGCGGTATAGAAATCTAATAAAAGTCAAGGTCAAAGATGATTACCTGTATCCCGTCCAACCTACCTCAAAGAGTAAATGGGGATAAAGCTAGTGGGTGACCCCTCCCTCTAAATTGCTGTGAGATTTTTCAAAAAAAAAAGGCTGGATAAAAATGCACAACATAGTACTGAAAGATTTCCATAATTCTCACCAGCAGTGAAATCCACTTACCTATGCTACCAGTTCAGAAATGGGAGCACACATGTGCATAGCGTGCACACAAGCCTTCGCATGCACAGAGGGTCAAAAAAGGGACATAATGATGTCCCGGTGGGTGGGCAGAGCCTCCTGCCACCAGCACTACCAGTTCGCACGAGCCGAATAGCTCCAGCCAGATTTCACCGCTGATTCTTACCCATTTTGGCCTTCTGCTGTGCAGTTTATGAGCTATAGCACAGTCCATTCTTTTCCTGAAGCCTCAGAATAGGGAAGGAATCTCCCTACCTGAAGAAATACTAATACTGACATAGTCTTCCTCTTTTCTCCAGTCTGTTAGATGTGACTTAACTCTCTCTAGGGAGAAAATCCCAAAGCCACTGAAAGCCATTTTTCCTCATCCTTGATTCAGAAACATTCAAGGAATCCTAGGTTCTGTCGCAAATCATAATTTCGTTCTCCCTTCCCCTCCCCCCCCCTTTTTTCTCCTTTTTTAACTCTAGGGACACGGCCAATGCAGTGAAGGAGAAGTTTGGCAAAAAACTGTATGAATCCCTCCTCGTGTAAGTCTCCTATGGGAAGGCTAGAAGAAATATGATAAAGTGCTGAGCAACTGAGAATGGGCTGCTGGGTTGCCATGGCTACAGAGAATGGGAACTTAAAAGACCTTCTCTTTCTCTTTGTATTGTCTCTTTTGAGAAATACTGATTTGATAGAAGCCTATTTTCAGAAATCTTGGTTCCAGTATAAAAACTAGAATGCGTGTCCAAGTGAAAAGCAATATTGTAAATGTTGTTCATTAATTTCCACATTATTCACTGTCTGCCTGCTTTTCCAATTCAGGGGGAACCTTCCTGACATGAATAAAATGTTGGACAAAGAAGATTTCACAATGATGAAGAGAGCTATCTTTGCCACTCAGGTACGGGGCATGAAGAAAATGAGTCTTGAAAAAAAGTAATTTGCACATGAAAAATGAGATTTTCACATTAATAAAACAGCTAATCCTCAACTTACAATCATTCTTTTGGAGACAGTTCAAAGTTACAATAACACTGAAAAAAGTGACTTGCAACCAGACTTCATACATACGATCTCTGATCAAAATTCAGGCCTTGACAACTGGCACTTACAATGGTAGCAGCATCCTGGAGTTATGTGGTGGCCATTTCCAATTTTCCCTGTCAGCTTCAAATAAAAGTCAATGAGGGAAGCCAGATTAGTTGTATCAACTACACAATTCACTTAACAATTGCTGAGATCTGCTTAACAACTGTGGCAAAAAAAAAAAAAATTGGGCACAACTCATAACCCCTTTGTTTAGTAATTGGTCATAAGTTGAGGACTACCTGTAACCTGTTTATATGACTTCTCATCTCACACAAAGGTTCTGGGCAGTTGCAATTAGGCTGAGGTCTCTTAGAAGGACATATTGCTAGATGAGTGGGAAGAGTAGATTCTGGGAGCCTGGATCTAAATTCCTGGATTGTATAAATTGCTTTCATTCAGCCTCCCCATATTGGCTGTGTGGACCTCTGACTCTCAGGATTGTCAACAATGACCATTTTGGCTCTGAAGATAGAAAACACTCTTGTAATTGAAGCAATATTAGAACAGAGATGATAAGGATATTGGATTTGTGCTACTTAATTAAGATACCTTGGTTTAAGATATCTCAGTTTCTAAACTTATCTTAGAAAAAAGAAAAAGATGAATACTGTTTGGGTTTGACGAAGGTTCTAATGTTTTGTATAAAATAATATTTACTCCTACCTCCCGTTTCCTCTCTCTGTCTAGTTTACAGCTCAGTCTCTGGTTTACCATCTCTGTAAAAAAATAAGCCAGGATATTCCAATATAAAACCCCACATTGATATGTGTGGAGATGGGAGAGCTGACTTCTTTCTTTCCAGGGCTTCTAAATGAGGAATAAGATCCCCCAGAAACATGGATGTCATCCGCTTTCCTACGGTTCCAGAAGGCCTTTAAAATCTAGTTAGCCCTCAGGCCTGGGTTAGTGTATCTGGGAAGCCCCTATAATGTTTTGCATTATGCTTTTATTGGTATGGTTGTTTTTAATCTTTCATATATTTCTTTTGTGTGTTTCTTAACTGTTTTCAACTTTTTATATATATATTATAACACCATCCAGATTCAGCTAGAGTAAGTGGCAATAAGAAATGTGATTAAATAAATAAACACTGATATATGTAAGATTGCTAGTGATAAATTCTGCACAGGCTCTAGATACACTTCATATAATCTATGATTAGACAGGAAATCCAGAGTCTTCGCTCAGAAAACATGTGAGGAAAGAGAAAGAGAGAGATTATCTTTAAATATAAAGTGATTCCGTCAAGTAACCGTAATACACTGCTCAAAAAAATAAAGGGAACACAAGCAGAAGACATCCAAGATCTGAATGAATGAAATAGCCTTATTAAATACTTTGTTTGTTACATACAGTAGTTTTGTGTTCCCTTTAGTTGTTTGAGCAGTGTATAAACTACTGTATGTAAAGAACAAAATATTTAATAAGGCTATTTCATTCATTCAGATCTCGGATGTCTTCTGCTTGTGTTCCCTTTATTTTTTTGAGCAGTATATATTGTCCTGCCAGATTTATTCAGAAGGAGAAGCAGAAAAAACACAGAAGCCATCTTGGATTCAATTTAATGTGTGAATTACAGGCTTTGCTTCTCTTCCAGACTTAAGGTTTTAAAAATGAGCTGTTAACATCTTTCTGGATTTTTTTTCCCCCTCTTCAATCAGCGCCATTCTTTCCCCCCAATCTGTACTCACAACATGCTGGACGATTCTACCGACCCTATTCTCAACACCATCAGGCGCATCGGTCTCTTCAATAGCAGTGCCGACCGTGTCAAGGTGAGTAACAGGTGTATGTCCATGTCAGGTGAGGAGAGATATTTGTCATACTATATTTTTAAAAGAATTTTAAAATATTATAATTTTCAGCCATTTTTTAAGATGCTGGGATATTTAGTACCTGATTTTATCTATTAATTTTTGTCTGTTAATTGTCCTGTCCCATATTTTATTTATTCTTGTGAATCTAGAAGTTCAGACTTTTAATAAGCCAAAATGATTGAAGGAAAAAATGGTGAAGTCTATTCCGAATTTTGTGTGCTATCATTTTTTGAATTCAGGCTCTTTTTTTTTAGTCTTGGTGTCTATAGTCGCTGTAAATACCCTGTTTCCCCCAAAATAAGACATCCCCTGATAAGAAGCCCAATCGGGCTTTTGAGCACAAAGCAATAAGGCCAAGCGCTTATTTCAGGGTTCAAAAAAATATAAGACAGGGTCTTATTTTTGGGGAAACACGGGTAATACTAAAAAATTTTAATGGTTGCAATTTATTGGATATATATCCAATGTATTTAAATGTTTTATTGTAATTGTAATATATGGCCATATTTTACTACTGTTTTATAATTGCCATGATGCTATTTTTTCTTTTTGGCTTTATTCCTAAAACAGAAGTTATGTTTATCAGAATCTTTGTACTTTTAGTTTGCTTTTTAACTATTTATTTTCATGAAATATATTATTGTTAAAAAGGATCCTGTTAATCCCCTATAGACCCATGAATTGAATGCTAGCAGCGTAAAGTTGAATCAGCTATATGAACATACATAAAAATACATATGGACAAAATGCAGTACAGAATTTTAAGGATAGCTCTGCTTACAAGAGCAGAAATTATATAGATTTCCAAATGTATCTGTCAGGGTTCTGATCGATGCCCTAATTAAATCATGAGCCAAGAACCAAGCTTCAAAAGAAATCCAGTTATTTATTAGGAGCTTCATGTTGGCATGTTCCAAGTGAAGCCAACTCTGACCTCACTTAATTCACGCCCCAGCTCTACCCTGTTCCCACCTCCCCCCAAGGTGTGTCATCAGTCACATTCCCCAACGAGGCAATTTCGTGGGTTGTAGAAGTCCCTCTCTCCAGCCACTGTGGGTCTCGTTGGAGATGACCTTGACATAGTGATGGCTGGAATGGCTTTTTTTTTTGACTGAAGTGCAATTCCCTTGCTGCAGCTGTGAGACTCAGTTCCCCATCCCTCTGCCTATGCAACTCGAGAGCAGGTCAGGAATGCTTCACGAGTTGACAGCATCATCACTACATCATCTCGGAGTGAGGTCTCGAGATGGCACGGCAGTTGATTGGAGCATGTGATCTACTGAGGAGTGAGGGGATGGTTTTGGGGGTTTTGATTTACTGAATAGAACTTTGAAAAATGCTTGCTTCAGAGTCTTTACTTGGAGTTTTTTCTGGAATGCTGTCAATACTCTTTCTCTTTTTACTTTTCTTCTCCCTAGGTCATTTTCCATCCAGAATTTCTGTCTTCCACTAGTCCGTTGCTTCCTGTTGATTATGAAGAATTCGTTAGAGGCTGCCATTTGGGGGTGTTCCCTTCCTATTATGAACCATGGGGCTACACACCAGGTAGGTGGGTTGTAAGGGCAGATTTGTGGGCATTGACTCAACCCCTGTTCAAAATTACAACAACATTGAAAAAAGTGACTTATCATTTTTTACACTTACAAGTGTTGCATCCCCATGGTCACATGATCAAAATTAAGGTGCTTGCCAACTGCCTTGTGTTTATGACAGTTGCATTTTCCCAGGATCATGTAATTCCCATTTATAACCTCCGAAGCTGCCTTCCAACAAGCAATAGGAGAAGCCAGATTAGAGAAGCCATATAGGAAAAGCCAGATCCTTCCAATAGGAGACGCCAGATTCGCTTAATGACTGCATGATTCACTTAACAAATACAGTGATTTGCTATACAGCTGTGGCCAAAAAGGTCATCAAATGACATACAACTCAGTTAACAACTGCCTTGCTTAGCAACAGAAATTTTGGGGTCAGTTGTGGTCATAAGTCGAGGACTCCCTATATATGAATACAGGATTTTATTTTATTTTTACATAATTAAGTGGTGTATAGTAGTGATCAGTTTTAACTGCCAGAAAAGAGGAAATACAAAAAATTGAAGGAGCAGTTGGAAATGAGAATAACTAGGAAAGTATTCAGACAAAAGGACAAAATTATATTTTGACCACCTGATTTTTTTTTGCAACAAAACTGAAATTTCCAGGCAATCTCCCCAACTATAGCCTCTTCGGAATAAGGCAAATACGTATTTTGGCTGTACTTCAATTTTTCAGTTTCTGTTTATAAATAGAGGCCAAAAAAATTACCTTCTACTAAAGTGCTGGTTCGTATAATCTTTCACTGGGTGAAATGGTGTATCATAGGACAACATTTTTGAAACAAGGTATGGGTTCAGAATGGGCAAATATTATAAAATGTTTTATGACAAAAATTATCATAAAACAGTTTATGACATAAAATAAAATGCTTTGCAACATTTCCTGTGCTGTTTGACTGTTATACAGTTCATTATGGGCTGTTTTCAAGACAGGTACCTTTATGAATGTATCCCAACTTTTCCAGTGAAGGCAATACATTAGAAACTCTCTTCACTGTTAAAGGCATTGAGGAATATGGTAAGGCAATATCTCTGAAAGGGCAACCAAACAAGCACAGGTTGTCAGTGAATACTACAGTGTCACAAGATTGCACTAGGTATGTTTGGCACATAATTATGGCTGCATTTTGTTAGTCTTGAGGCCTGGTAACTTTGCTTTCCAAAAGTGATGGAAGAGAAAGAGCCAACATGGTCTTGAATTTTTCATCTGAAATTCTTTTCTTTTAGTGTATTTTGTCATTGTTTAGGCCCACTGCAAACAATAAGGCCTTTTTTACCCGTTCACACATGTTTTTCCACTTAATTCTGCAAGTATTTTCCTAAATGATGGCTTTTCCTTCATTTTTCAATTTCAGTAGCTCAAAGGAGCTATTAAGAATTATGGAGGTGTGTGTTTTATATACAATTAATTAGGAAAACTTTTCCAGAATAACTAATATGGCATCAAAATGCATTAGAATTTTCCAAGTGGGGATGATAAACATTTTAGTAGATTGCTAGTGTTTTTAGCTATTAGACAATCAGCTTTCCATGTAACTATGCAGTTCTCATATCGTGTCATATCATATTATATATCATGTAAATCATCCAGAGTCACTTACAACTAGGCCGTCCAGTGAGGAGGAGAGGGGAACTGGGCATGCGCACCAACCCACTACTTGCACAAGTTAAACTGCACGCTCATGTGCACTGGCCCACTGTTCGCCAGCCACCACTTTCGCAAGTTGAGCTGTCTGCATGCATGTGCCGGCCTGCTGCTCGCACGGCCCAGTTATGAACAGGCCACAGCCCAGTAGTGGACCAGGGGTTGGGGACCCCTGATCATGGTGTATAAATTTGATTAATAACTAAATAAATAAATAAAATATGTGAGCAATGATGTTTTGGCTAGAAAAGGATGAAAACTCTGAACCTCATTAATTGAAGAGATGATAGAAACAAGTTTGCATTGTGAATTGTGGCTGAAATGAATAGAGGGACAGATAAGTGAATGTAAATTGTGAGGAAAGCACAGGTTCTTGTAATGCCTAAAACAAAGTTTTGATGATAATAAAATAGCTATTTATTATTTTTAACATGTACATAAAATCTATAGGGACTGGAAAAATTTAGTAAACTCAAGTGACCAAAACTGAATAGGCTGCAAGGTAAATTCTTGAGATAGTGCATATCCCCAGGATTTAATCCATGTCCTCCGATGACCTCTCTCTTATTCCCCAGCTGAATGCACCGTGATGGGGATCCCCAGCATTTCCACCAATCTCTCTGGCTTTGGCTGCTTCATGGAGGAACACATAGCAGATCCATCTGCTTACGGTTGGTATCATTTCGGGATCTCTGGGAACAGGTATTGGCACAATGGGAGCCTATGCAATCCTTACTCGACCACAGGATAATTCCTTCAGATGGAGAATAATTTGGGTGGGTAGATTAACCTATACATTTCTGGAGGGAAAAAATGGGTGCAATAGCGTTTAGATTTATATACCACTTCATAGTGCTTCACAGCCCTCTCTAAATGGTTTAGAGTCAGTATATTGTCCCCAATAATCTGGTTCCTCATTTTACCAGCCTCGGAAGGATGGAAGGCTGAGTCAACCTTGAGCAGGTCAGGATCGAAGTGCTAGCAGTCAGCAGAATTAGCCTGCAATACTACATTCTAACCATTGCGCCACCATGGCTCAGTTGGTGATCTAGAATGATTCCATTATGCCTGTTCTAGCCGAGACCTAGCTGATTAAAGCAACATGCGCTTCGACGCAATAGAGCAAGAATTCAAATATTAGCGAAATTAAGCCATTTCAAACCACTTTATATGGCAGAGCCTCATAAAGGCAAGTGTGTACTGTATATATATAAACCATTTTTCATTATAGGCAACTCTTGACTTTCGACCATTCGCTTAGTGCAGTGGTGGGTTCCTCCCTGTTTGGCCCGGTTCCGCCGAGCCGGTAGCGGTGACGATATGACATCAACGAACCGGTTCTGTCCCCCCCGCCCCCCTGCATTATTCTTACCTTTTATTTGGCCCCACCCCCAATCTATTGCTGCCTCCTGAGTCCCAGCTGATCAGCTAGAGGGAAAAAAACTGTTTAAACTCTTGCTATGGGGCTTCAAAGGGCCGCCCTACAGCTGATCAGTATTAAAAGAAAACAAATGAGTAGACTGGTGCCTGCAAAAATAAATGGGTAGACATGTGCCTCCAAAAACAAATGAGTAGACCAGTAGAGCTCTGCAAGCAGTTAAAAGCCTGGTAGACCAGTAGCTCTGCTAAATCCTAAAGAATTGTCACAAGACCATCAAGCAGCGCTCACAAAATAAGCCATACCCACAGAACCGGTAGTAAAAAAATTTAGAACCCACCCCTGGCTTAGTGACTGTTCTAACTTACAACAGCACTGAAAAAAATGATTTACCACCAGTCCTTGCACCATCGCAATGTCCCCACAGTTGCATGATCAAAATTTGGGCACTTGGCAACTGACATGTATTTATGACAGTTGTACATTCCGGGCTCACATGATCACCATTTGCAATTTTCCCAGCTGACTTCCAACAAGCAAAGTCAAAGGGAAAAGCCAGATTCACTTAGAAAACATGTGATTCAATTAACCACTATGATGATTCACTTAACAGCCACAGCAAAATAGGTCAGGAGTGATTTATTTAACAACCTCTCACTTAATGATGGAAGTTCCGGCCACAATTTTGGTTATAACTTGAGGACTGTCTGTATATTATTCTCTAGCACTGTGATGGCGAACCTATGGCATGCGTGCCACAGAAGACGCACTGAGCCATATCTGTGGGCATGCAAACTTTGCCCTGGCTCAGCTCCAGCGCATATGCACAGACCGGCCAGCTGGCTTTCAGGTCTTCCAGGCCCACCGGAAGTTGGGAAATGGGCCATGGGGATTGGGGGGTTGGGGAAGGCCATTTTCGCCCTCCTCAGGATCCAAGAAAGCCTCTGGAGCCTGGGGAGACAAAAAAACAGGCCTTCCGGTCTCACCGGAAGTCGGGAAATGAGCCATTTCTGGCCTACAGAGGGCCTCCAGGGGGGAGGCCATTTTCGCCCTCCCCGGGCTCCCAAGGAAGCATCTGGAACCTGGGGAGAGCGAAAAACAGGCCTACAGGGCCCACTATGCCATTGCGTGCCAAAAGCGGGAGAGTGCAGGAGGGTCATGCGTGCATGCACAGGGGGGAAGGGCGCATTGAATTATGGGTGTGGGCACGTGCGCACACGACCCCCTGCGCTCCCCACATTTTTGGCACGCGACTGCAAAAAGGTTAGCCATCACTGCTCTAGTATCTCAGGCAACAACCATTCAGTTGGGCAGAAGAGACTCAGCCTTGTCTTACGTTGGTCAATTGTCAGCTCTCTGTATTGAATCAAGGTGAAGCCACTTCTTTGACATCTTTTTGGTTCCCACCAGGGATCTACATCTTAGACAGGCGTTTCCGGGGCTTGGATGAGTCGTGCACGCAGTTGACCTCTTTCCTCTACAGCTTCTGCCAGCAGTCACGGAGGCAGCGCATTATACAGAGAAACCGCACAGAGAGGCTTTCTGATCTCCTGGATTGGAAATATCTAGGAAGGGTGAGCTTTTTTTTCACCGTGACATGCCATTGTGATAGCCCTTCTCCTCTACCCTTTGCATTTCATTTGCTTTATTGTCTTCCTGTGTTGTAATCTCCATGTTTGCCTCCAGAGGGCAGATAGTACAAATACTATTTTATCCATTTTTTTCACTGATGGACCTTTCTGTGCTCAACCAGTCCTTTAATAGGATGGTAACTTGTCTTCTCTGTGCAATTTCCTGGAAGCAGAAATAAATTTGAGGTCAGATCAGGAATATTACCAGCTTTTTTGGTGGGGGAGGGGGGGTGTTAAGTAAAAGCACCTGTTAGGAGATTATGGGAAGTAGTACAAACAATTATGTGCATAATTATTTATTTATAATTTATAAAGTCTCCAATAAGTTTTTCCCCACCTATAACAAGGCTGGTGTCAAATTATTCTCATCAACGCATCTTTGAAAAGTTGGGTAAAAGCTCCTTGAAAGGGTTTTGTTCCCAATATATTCTGGTTCATGTCAGAACATAACCCTGCATTTGAAGCGTTTGGATTATTTTCCTTTCTTAAAGTAAAAATAAATCCAGAAAGGAAAAAGTGTCTACTTTATAAACTATCATTATTAAATATTTTTTACCTAAAGAGTAAATTTCATATACAAGTCCTGAGTTCTTAATTTAGAGAAAATCTAGTACAAATGAGAGAGAAAAAATTATTGTTCTTACTTAACTATATTGTTATAACTTAACTTTATAAATGAAGTCCTTCAAGCAAATGAGCATGATAGATGCATATTCCTGTGGCAACTGCTATTCACACCAGTGGCAATCCTGTGCATGTACTCCCCTAAATGAGAATAACTGGAAGTGTCCTTGTACAATAATACAAATAGTCCTCGACTTAGGACTATTTCTTGAGCAACCATTCGAACGGTTATAACGGTGCTGGAAAAAGTGACTTACAACCACATTTTACAGTTATGACCATCAAAGTATCCCTGTGGTCATATGATCAGAAATCGGGGGGGGGGGGCACTTGGCAACTGGCATGGTTTTGTGTCAGTTGCAGCATTCCCCACCCCCAGTGAGGGGGAAACTGGTTTCATTTAGCAACCATGTGATTCACTTAACAACTGTGGTCATTCACTTAAGGACCATGGCAAAAAAGGTCATAAAATTGGACCCAGTGCACTTAACTCCACCTTGCTTAGTGACAGAAGTTCTGGTGCCAGTTGTGATCACAACCCTCGGACTACCCATATTTTCATTATAAGAAAAAGGTTACTGTAGATCTACTGATCTAGTATCTTCTTCAAAATAATTCATTTTTTAAATGGAAAGATATATTTCTATAGGAAAGCATTCCACCCCACAAGCTGCGATATAAAGTGACATTGCTACGAACATGAATTAATTTCATTTATTCAGAAATATGCAACATCTTATTGTTTTGATGTTTATGAAGCCTTCATTATGGGGCCCAAAGTTCATTCATTATTAAAAACAAAGGGAAATTAAACAAATTGTTAAAAATATAGTACATATTATATATAGTATAATATTACCCTTATCCCTCGCCTGTCTCTTTTCCACAATCATCTTGCATTTCAGGAAGTGATCTGGCATTTGCCAATTTGCTGGATTCCTTTTTGTAGGCTGACAAAGGCATCTCTGTTTCACCACCTACAGAAAAGAAAGTTGGGTAGTCGGGAGAAGAACTCTGTGTGGGGAAGATGGAGACCATGTTTTGATCTCACCCAGCATTTGTTTTGAGCCATATCAACTTAACGGTAGTCATGGATTTCAAAGAGGGTTACAGTCCAGCAGCCCCCAACCTTTTGGGTACCAGAGACCAGTTCCGTGGAGAGAGGTTTTCTGAGGACATGCTGCCTACATTCGGTGGATGGGGCTTCGCTTGTTTAGGCAGCCCAGTTTCTGCAATGCCGTGGCCCGATGCCAGTCCACGGACCAGGGGGTGGGGACCACTGGGTTACACAGATGCCAGTGTCCCAAAGGCACTTTTTCAACTGGACTTCCTTGTTTTTTCTTTGAAGACGTTTCGCTTTTCATCCAAGAAATTTCTTCAGCTCTGATTCGACGGTGGGAAATGGAAGGATTTATATTTCTTGCAGACAGCTGGTCATTTGCATCCTTTTAGAGAGTCATTGAGGCCACTTAGATGTTTGTCTGTGTTCTCAGGGTCACATGAGTGGTGCAAATAGGAATGGGACCTTCTTGGCTGCAGGGTGTTTTCTGCCCTGTGTTCCTTCACTGTTGAAGACAGACGCAGGCTATCGGGGATGAGTCTGTATTGACTGCATCTCAAACTGAAGTGCAAATGGTTCCTGTAGTCTGCAATTTTTCTGGAAAACCGTTCATACTCCACACCATTCACCATTCAAGAAAAAACAAGGAAATCCCAGTTGCTTCTTGAAAAAGCACCTTTGGGACAACTATGAACTGGATGACTGAGAATCTCCATAGAGAAATGCAAAAGCAACATAAGAATTGAGCTGCCCAGGGCAAAATATGCCACAGTTTAAGTGTAGATACAGAGAAAGCTCCCCTGCTTATCCTCATCAGACCCCACCCCACTCCTTCCACCCATCAAAGAATCTGAATGTAGGCAAACCTGATCCCATCAACCCTTGAAGACGGAAATCAATTGTTTTAGAACCAAATGGATGATTCTGCAATTCTGGAGCCAGGGGGGAATATTTTCCACATGTTTTGGAAACCAGAAGTGTGTTGACTGCCTGAATGATAATAGGTTCTGTTGCTTGCAGTGGGAATGGGAAGAAATTCAGCGGTGGGGGCAGAATGCCAGCGTTCATTTTCTCTTTTCTCCTACCATACTTTTCTTTGCAGTATTACATGTATGCCCGGCATATGGCCCTCGCAAAGGCCTTCCCTGATAACTTCATCTATGAGCCACACGAAACAACTGCGGTGAGTGAGGTCCCTCATGGGAGACGAAAGAGACATAAACTTTATATTGGGTCCCCTTACAACTTGATTTACAACTGTTCATTTAATGACCATTCAAAGTTACAATGACACTGAAAAAAAGTGACTAAGACCGATCCTCGCACTTATAATGGATGCTGTATCTCCAAAGTCACATGATCAAAATTTGAGTGCTTGGCAACTGGTGTGTGGTTACCAGAGTTGCAGCATCCCAGGGTCATGTGAATGCCACTTGGGACCTTCCCAGCTGGCTTCTGGCAAGCAAAGTCAATGGGGGAAGCCAGATTTGCTTAACGACCACAGGATTCACTTAACAACTACAGGTTTTCGTTAAAAAAAAGTGGCAGAAAAAGGTGGTAGAATTTACTGCGATTCACTTAACAACCCCCTTGCTTAATTCTGGTCTCAATTGTGGTTGTAAGATGAGGACTTTAAAATCCAGCATCAGCTCAGATGATAGCCCACTACAGGTAGTAACTGTTCAAAGTTACAATGGCACTGAAATATGTGACTTTTATGATCATTTTTCACACTTAAGACCATTGTGGCATCCTCGTCACATGATCAAGAATCAGACGGCATCTGACTCATATTTATGACGGCTGCTGTGCCCAGGGTCATGTGATCCCCTTTGTGACCTTCTGACAAGCAAAGTCAATGGGGAAGCCAGATTCATTTAACAACCATGTTACTAATTTAACAACTGCAGTGATTCACTTAACAATTGTGGCAAGAAAGATCATAAAATGGGGCAAGACTCACTTAACAACTGCCTTGCTTAGCAACATAAATTGTGGGCTCAATTGTGGTCATAAGTCAAAGACTACCTGTATCTAGAAAAATATTTTGCTTTGCTAAAAAGCCCTAAAAGGATTGAGGGGATTTTTGTGTGATTTGGTTCTACTACTGATCACAAACTCCTAGCTGAGCATATTATCAGAGGGGCCCTGTCCCAAATTTGTAGGATCTGTCTATTTACTTGAGCCAGTTCCAGTTGGTGAACTTCAAGGTTCTAATAAAAGGGCAAAATAGATTCTACTTTAGAAATATCCTTTGCACACCTTGAGCTAAAAGTCCATGATGCAGGTCCTAGTAACCCTCTTTCCAATATTATCCCTGAGTTGCAAACTGCTAGAATGAAAAAAACAGTAAATACAAGTGGCTAATGAAAGCGAATGCTATTTTATTGATGGCATTTCATAACGATGTATCTGTTTGAATATGGACCTGGTCACTACTTGTCCTGGCTCTCTCTCTCTTGCCTGGAATTCACTTGTCAAAGACCAGGTATTATTCCCATCTTGGAAAAATGGACTAGAAGTTGAGATGCTGGTCCTGCAGAGCGTGATTTGAAAAAATGAGTTCCGGGATTCTGGGAAGTGGTTGAAGGCATTGAGGGAGGGGGGAAAGGAAAATAGACTCTGTGTGACATTGATTGATTTTTTTCACCATTCTTTTTCCCCCCCATCCATTCTGTTCCCATGTCCTCAACCTTGCAGGCTCAGGGCTTCCGCTACCCACGCCCAGCCTCGGTCCCACCCTCTCCTTCCATCTCCCGCCACTCCAGCCCCCATCACAGCGAGACCGAAGAGGATGATGAACGGTACGACGAGGAAGAAGAGGCAGAAAAAGACAGGCAGAACATCAAACCCCCAGCCATGATGGGTCCGGTCCCCGAATGGCGAAAGCACTCCAAGAAGGGGTCTAGCGAGGCCAGCAATTCCTCCAATGCTAGCACCCCCACTATCCCCAGCAGCCCCAGTGACCTGAGCAGCCCCACCAATTCTCTTATCGAAGAGAAGAATTAGGTGAGCAGGATAGTTGTCCTGACTCGCCCGCCTGCTCTTTTCCCATGCCTCCCCCTATCCTCAAGAGCTTGTTAACCTAGTGCTGCATTCTGAAAAAAGCCTAGAGTGTAAGTTCTAGGGTGTTCCAGACAGAAGTGCTCACACTCGACGTAGTTCGGTTAAAGGACAGTAAGGCAGTCTTCTCTGGATCCCAGAATGCCAAGGGTGGAGGACCTCTTCCTCTGGAAGGAGTCAGGAAGTGACCCATTGGCTCAACACAAGATAACATCTTTGTGTTGAGCAAGAGTAAGAATGTAAGGTCATACGTTTTCCTCCTCCCAAACACCCTCCATATGCTGCTGATGTTTTGGAAGGCATTCTCCAGGTCTTAAGAACCTTGCTGAATTTTTTTTTAAAATAATAATAATAATAATGGGAGAAAAGGGAAAATGGGAGGCCTTCATGGGAAGGACACAGGAAAGATATCACCTTACCTCCCCTTCCCTACCAACAAAGGTTTCATTGAACCAGAAACAGAGCAGGCCTTTTAAAGGCTGCTCATAAAATGAGTGAATCTAATATTATTGTTTTGTTGGGTAACTCTAGACGGTTGGCATGGAGGCCCAGTGAGGATGTATGTTCAGCAGGATTTTCGAATGATCCGGGGGACTATGAAAGACAGAATATTGCTCAGAGTTTGGAAACTTCCTTTGAAAGCCATGACTCTGCTGTTCTTTAGGCAGAGCCTTTTTTTTTAAAGAAAAAGAAAAAGGACATTTCATAATATGTCCAGACAATCTGAATTCATACTTTGGGACTGCTTGTCAGTTAGCTCTGTCTGTTTCTGGAAAGGAATTTGCAAAGCTATTTAGAGCAAAGATTCTAACAAAAGGTTTTCTGAAAAGGGCAGTTGTAGAAAGAGTTGAAAAAGTCCCCATGGAAGAGGATATGGGATCCGACTGGGGGAAAGAAGAAGCTTTCCTGTTTGATAATTTTCACCCTGTTCTCCAGATGTGCTGAGCTTCAGCTCCCATCATCCTCGACCAACATGGACAGGGATCAGGGATGGATATTGTAAAGTGTCCAAAGGATCTGAATGTGTGTTTATATGACCTTCTAAGGTCCAAGGGGGCTTAGGAGCACCCTGCCACATAAATTGCACTCCTGTGGCTCTATCATGTCACAGAGATCCTAATTCCTTTTCAACAGATTTTTTAAAGTTAGTGGTTTTTAAAACTGCTTGTGGAAGTTCGTGTTTTTTTTTTCCAATCTATATCCCCGTGGGCACTCAAGAGCATTCTAGAACGATTCCCAGGGTGGTGATATTCATTCTGCATAGACTGTGATGAATTTCAGGAGACTGTAGGGTCAAGGCCAGCAGAATGGACTGCATGCTTAAAACCTCTGAAACAGGCTAGAGGATAGTCTTCTAAAATACACTTTGCTTAAGGAGAGTAATAATAGAGCTAGATACCTTTCCAAGTTGGATGCCACAGATGTATGCGTCAACTTCACAATCATCCTAGCTAGGTTTTATGGGAATTACAGTCTAGCACATCCCAAGAATAAGCTAGTCTAAAATCCACCAGCTCTCCGGCATCCATCTTTTACTCTTAATGAAAGAGAGAAAGCGTTCTGGAATCCAATCACATTGCCCATTAGGTTAAACTCTCTTGGCGGTTTCTGTTAGAACGATGCTGACTATTGACGCTCTAGACTAGATAGGTTTGGTTGGTTGCCTCTGAGAATCAGCCACAGCTGTTGAACTGTCCCTAACCTATACTGTAATGTTTGTGATGAGGGTTTTTGCTGACGATGCAGTACAGAACGGTGTGACCCTGCATCAGGGATGACGTAGCTATGACCAAAGCAGGTATTATAGTGCAGACAGGCAGCGAAGAAGTGTTCCTGGAGGCTGGGAGACTTAATTAGCTGTTATGTGGATAATACCCATCCTAGCATGAGTGGCAACTACCTCAAAAGGCAAAGCAGATGCCAACACACTCAATAATCTTTTCTGTTCTCTTCTCCTGCCAATTTTATTTATCAATACGGAAAACCTTTTTTTTTTCTTTAAACAATCTTGGGAACTTCATTTCTCACAGTTCTGTGATGCAATCATGCACGAAGAACCAGGTGTCTTGGGATGCAGCCTTGCAAATTCCCGACCTACTTGGCACTAAATTTGGGGAGAGGCAGTTTTAACAGAGCAGGATATTGGTTTGGGCCTTAAATCCCTTTTCTCTTTTCTCCAACTTTCCCCATCTAGATTTTTATTTATAGATGTCAAAAAAAAAAAACAAAAAAAAAAGCTTGAATTTTGTTGTCTTTCTCCTTCCCCCTTTGTGTGGAAAAACAGACTCTGAAGAAAACAAAATATGATTTCAGAATAAAGTTTGCTTTGAAAATTGTTTTGGAAAATGGGAAGTGTGTGCCTTGTGCTCTTCTGAATCTGCTGGCTTTCAAATCCTTCTTGGGACTTCGTCCTTTGCAGAAATAGCTATCACAAATAATAGGCACTAAATTCTAAAGCCTGCCGGATTGCTGATGATAGCGCTGGAAAAGTAGCTCCTTCATGGGAAGGGATGGCCATGATTCAAAAGGCCTGAGAAAACATTCTCAGTGTTAACACAATTGATTTGTATGTTGCAGGCTCAAGGTTCTGCTTTCACCTCTAGTTCCAAGTATTTTGTTGAGAACACAGTACACAAATTAACTTTCTGATGGGTGCATTAACTGTGACTTTTTCTTTTTTACATGCAGATAGGGCAACTATAGGTACAGTTCTATATGCTTAATGCTTAGGCACAAAACATATTTGCCCATTTAAATTAACTCAAATCTTAAGCTTCATTGTAATTTCAAATTCTGCAATCAGAACTGATTGCAGTCTTCTAGTACTTGAAGAGCTCACACAGAAGGGGTTGTGTAGTCATCCTAGTCTCCAAAGCACCTGAGGGCGGGACAAGAAGTAATGGGTGGAAGATCATTAAAGAAAGATCCAGCCTAGAACCAAGGAGAAATTTCCTGACAGTGAGAATTAATCAGTGAAATGGCTTGCGTCCAGAAATTGTGTGCGTTCAGTCATGGGTGGTTTGCAAGAAGAGATGGGTCAGCCAGATTTTCAGGAATGATCTAAGATCTCCTGCTTCAGCAGGATGTTGGTCCTGCAAGGCCTCTTCCAACCCTGTTACTCTATTATTCTGTTAGATGAGCAAAATTGGGTTTTGAGTTTGCAAAATGCAGCAAGCATGGACACTGGAAGCTGCAAGCTGCAACCACACAGCCTCCTTTGTGAGCACTTTCTAACTAGATCGGCATCTACAGGTTCATTATTCTGCACTGAATTGGCAACACGATCCCTTCTGACCACTGTTGGTGTAAATTAGCAATGTAATTTCTTGCAACTTAGTGGGCAACAGTATAGATGCCATAATAAGTGAAAGACATTTAAAATCCTCACTAAAAGCCAGCAAAAAAATTGTCCTACCAGCATTTGTGATAGTCCTGTTAATTTCTTCTGCATTCCTCACCTAGAACTTTCAATTCCACATCGCTGTTATCTCAAATCTTCCATTAGCAGTAAATGTAGTTTATGTTAGGAAGATTGTGTGTTTGATGCTGGTTATGTGTGTTCACTGGTCACTATTTCTGACTGGATCCTGGATGAAACAAATCTTTGTTCTAATCTAATGTAAGAATCGCCACACATTATGAAGGACAGTCTTATCCATCATACATTCTCCCAATTAAATAGACATACACAGGATATAGTGCTTAATGCCAAGTTTATTTAATGCCAGTTACAGACTCCGCTCCTTCCCCCCCAAAAAATGGATAGGGGTTCAGAGGCCATATTTATTGAGCAGCCAGCTTTTAATTCATTTAAGGCTGTAGGAGCTGGGAGGGAGTCAACGCCTCTAGGCTCAGTCGCTGGATTCGCCCAGGGTGAGACGGTCAAACAGGTATTCCCCAAGGCCTTCCTCCTGGGCGTTCACACGCTTCAGGTTGGTCACATGGTCTCCCAGCTTCTTGATCAACTTCACCTCTTCATCCAAATAGTGAGTCTCCAAGAAGTCACAAAGCTTAGGAAAAGAAAGGAGTTTTAATTCAAGGATTCCACAGAAAAAGCCTACCTATATTAAGTAGTCCAAGGATTAGAAGGACTAATGCCTGCCTATCATCCAATCTATCAAGAACTAGAAGGAACCTCAAAATCAGCTGAGCCTATCTTCTACCAATATAAAAAAATCCACTGCATTCTTGATAGTTGGCCAGCTGACATCTTGTTTCAGGGCAATAGGAATGCAGAAAAGTGAGACACGATGCAAAGAACTCATCCATAACACCATTAAAAATCGAAAGCAGATGTTGAGTTCTTCAAAGAGGATGGTGCATCCAAGGTGTGTCAATCACACTTCACTTAATCAGCAGCCACCCAAGCTAGATGGTTTGGGGCAGTGGTGGGTTGTTCCCGGTTCGCACTGGTTCTATAGAACCGGTAGTAAAACCGACGGGAGACTCCGCCCACCGATCCTAACATCAAAATGTTTCTGCGCATGTGCAAAAACGCACGTGGCCCCGTTGCGAACCAGTAGTAAAGGTAAGTAGAACCCACCTCTGGTTTGGGGTGGATTAAATGGGGAACTCATGATGCTCAGGTGTCACTGAATCTCAACTGCCCCTAGTACACTACCACCCAGCTTAATTAATGAGGAATACTTCTTGCAGGTTCTCCATCCTTCCTTCCCTAACTAATCCTGTGTGAATGCGCCAAAACAAAGTTTGACAAGTGTAATTAAAAAACGTATTATTCCAAAGATACCTTGGTGGGCATTACTGTAATAGAAAAATGGGACTGAACTTAACCCTGCAAACCTTCTCCTGTCAACTTACATGGGGATCTGTATGGCGTGAAGCAATCTGATGCAAATCCAGCAGGGCCTGGTTCAGGCTCTTCTCCAATTTCAGCGCAGCTTCCATGGCACTGATTCCATTCTTCCATTCATCTTGTTCTGGTTTCTGGAGCATTAGAAAGAGTTAATCATGTCTCAGTAGCACTAAGCTTTATCAGCCAACCACTGGTTTCATTTAACCTCTGTGTGCCCCAATGTACTTCCCCATTCTCACCTTGACATCCTGCAGGACAACTCTTCCCCCACGACGGTTCTGGAAAGTCAAGAACTTCTCTGCTTGTTCATGCTTCTCCTCAGACAGGTGATGGAAAAAGGAGGCGAACTTGGACAGTGCCACATCATCCCGGGTATAGTAAAAACTCTGGGCAGAAGAAAGAAAAAGTTTAGAATTGGCACAGGTTTAAAATTGCCTTTACGCCCAAGCTTCTATAGGATTATCACTCATAGTCACCATTGCCTACTTCCCCAAAAAGAGCCAGCCACCCTTTAATTTAATTCACATATTGTGCTACATTATAGTATCATTTGTTTCAAGGTTTGGTTTTATTGCGTGAATAAATCACTTTATGAATAAATCACTATGATTTATAAATCATAAGTCCATGGCTTTTAGCATGCTACATTCCCAAATGCTGGTGGGTTCAATCCAGCATGCTTCATACATCATGGGTTGGAATCAATAGTGTAATTACGGTTTGATAAGACCCCAAAATAGAATAATAGATTTGTAACTAATCTGCAAAGCCAAAAAGCCTATGATTTGAAATATAATACATAACCACATTTTACTGCTGTATCTTATTTTGGGGGGTGGCATGAGTTACACTATCTAGATACACTATCACAAATATACTTTTTTTTTTTTAAATGACATTGTTTTTACATGCTGCCATGCATAGTGATGTTTTGCAGCTCTGCTTCCTCCCCCACCAACAATCCCGAGAAGACCAAAAGCTAGAACAAATAAATATAGCTTGACTTCCAGATTCAATGTAGTAATTCATTTCCATGATTACACCAAACCTGCAGTTTGATGCAATGCATAATTGAGCAGTTGCCTGTATGTGTTTTTTTAACAGTCACTTGAGGAAGAAAATTGGACATACTTCTGGAAAAGTACTAATCAGCAGTGATATAGGTACATGAACCCTATGTAAGAATTGCCTGATTCAACCCTGATCAGCAGCATTCCTAACTTAAGTCCTTTGAAAGTTTTATCTAGGTCTCTGCATATTGAAAGACAATCTCCCTGCTATCTACCATATGGATGGACCACAAGTGTTAAAAATGAGAGGAATTATGGGTACCTACAAAAAAAAGTTTATTTGCTTCTAAAATACGGTAATTTAAATTTTATTACCAATAACCAAAACATTCTATTTATGACTTAACTTATTGTGAAAATCTGCCCACTGTGGTTTATAAATTATAGTTCATGGCTAACCAAACTTAACTGTTGTCATACCCACACATCATAGTTAAACCTTAGCCAAAATGCCCATTGCCCCTTCCTCAGCTTATCAGTCCAGCCTTTGTTTCTAGTTTATGTACTGATAAAGGAGTTTGACATAATTAAATCATTAACCTCACCTTAAAACCATTCTAGAGGATGCAACAATGGGTAAATATGAAGGGGTGGACTTTGTATCAAAACATAAATTGCGTAGAGCTCCTTCCTTGCCAAAACTAAGTATACAGCAAGGACAAAAAACAGGTATCTTATTTACAGGGCAAAAAGGACTATTTGCTATGGCACTTTTCCTAACCAGATACCTTCTGATAGTGGGATACAATTTCCATCATCCCCAACCAGAACAACCTGGTGAACTAGACAAGCACTCTTTTTAATAACTTGATAAAGAGCTGAATTGTGTGTGTGTATACACACACATCTATATACATACACACACACAGAGTTAGGATTTGAAGCAAACCCAGCACAATCTCAGGGCACATCTGCACAGCATTTAAAAACAGGACTGTGTATATATAATTAATGGGGCTTATCAAGAATCTCAAAGGGAGCTGCTGGTGGTATGATAAAACTGGAGAAGCTGACGTGCAAAAAGAGCTCACTCACAAGATTCAGCCAGCAAAATCAGAATACTAAAAGGATCAAAAGCAGAGGACAAAGAAACCTACAGCGGTTGGTATAGCCCCACAAAAAGATGGGGATGATGGGGCCTGAAGTCCCACGCATCTGGAGATGCAAGATAGGGAAGATAAGCTTCATGGCTAAATAAAGTACCCCATGAAAAAAGCCTTTCCTCTTTCTCCTACAATGCGAAGAGAAGAGCTGCTGGAAAACTGTGTTTCGGTCTCCATGGTTACTGCAGGAAAAGAATAAAGCAAAGGGTGAATTTTCTGGAGGAAGAAAGAAAGAGGCCCATCTAAAACCACTGCCTATGGTGGGGGAAGGAGGGGGGGCGGGGGCAGTGTTTTTCATACGCAGTTTATAAACAGAAGAAACCAGACTCGACGGATTTTTTTTTAAAAAAAGGACTCGATGGGTGGGGCTATGGTACACAATAGCACATCACAACGCACACAAGAAGTCCGCCATCCTGGACCATAGGAAAGCGCAGTATTTTTGCTAGTTTCTTCCAATAAAGCAATCGGGCCCCTCCAACCACGAAAATGTGTAGCCACCATTTAAGTGGAGAGAAAAACATTTTCTTGGCTTTGCTCACCCACAGAGCGGCTTTTTGGAAAAACAAGTGGGGGGGGAGGGGGCGAAGCAACCTGATGCTTTCCAGAGGCACAGATCTGCAACTCACATCATTTGTACCAAGAATGGGTACGGATGGTGGGAGCTGTATTCCAAGATCAATATAGGGCGCCGGGTTAGGCAAAGCCAGGAAAACATTAGAGGAGGGGGAGAAAGGGGCGGTTTCTACCTTTTGATACTCACCAAGGACAAATAGGTGTAGCTGGACTGAAGGAATTGATTGACCAAGCGATTCACGCCTGCTTCGTTTTCGGCTTGGTAGTTCTGGCGGATCTGAGAGCTCATGGTGCAAATCGAGGTTGGTTGGACTGGCTGGCAAAAGGACTTAAGGATGGGGTGGCTGCGATCCTGCTCCGTTCAAGCACTGTTGAAGCAAGAGCGAAGGAACGGAAGCCAAAAGCGAGGTCCGGACTGAACTCGGCAAGCCCGGGGCGAGACTTTTATAGGCAGCCGGAGCCTCTTCCAGAACCCACCCTCCGCGCCGTCTGCAAACGCAAGGCTCCGCCTCCCGGGCTAGCCAAAGGAAGGCTGCTAGATGGGAGGGGGTACTGGGGGGGGGTCTGAGTTGGGATTGTGCAAAATCTGGTTGCGAGCGAGTCTCTGGCTTCCCTTTCCCTTCCGAAGTGCTGAAAATGTGGAATACGATCAAGTGACCAAGTGACCACAGTAGTGGCATTAATTAGGACTGGTCCTAACTTGGAGGGCACAAATTTAGAGACTCAAGGCCAGTATTGAAGATGTGCGGACTTCATGTCTTCAAGGGGCAAAAGTTGAGAAACACTGTGCATAGGTCACCTCTGTAGGCAGCAGCATCTGGGTGGGCAGAAGCCCATTTGGATGAAGCCTGGATGGTGGATGAGAGACCATGAGGAGATCCTAGGCTGAAGGATAGACTGGGTAGTTGGAAAAGTTTTCTGGGAAAAAGATAGTGGCAAACCTCTTGCAAATTGTTACCACATCAATGACATGGATATATCCATCATCACCAGGACTCAGGTTTGACTTAGAAGCACCTTTAAAGTCTTTCCATTTTATTAACTCCAATTACAGGATTACAGTAATGCGTTGTGTGAATCAGCAAAGGGCATACCAGGCCATGATCCTTTTCCTCATAATAGCCTTTCTTTTCTTTTCTTTCTTTTTTTTTTTTTTCTGTAACATGCGATTAACAATTGATGGGCAAATGTTTATTTAATTTTTAAAACATTCCTATTATATTATCTTGAAACAAAGTGATTCAGCCCATAAGACCGTGAAGTCCATCCATGGCATTTTTAAAAAGTGCTTACACCGCTCATAATGTATTATTAAAAAAACAGTATTGCCTGGAGAGGAAGTTCAACAGCTTGGAGTATCATATTACCCCTCCCCTCTGTGTACTTCCCTCATCAAAGTGACTCAGCAAAAAGAGCTCCTACAGAATCCGACCCCCAAGAAAAAAACCACCTCAGGATGATTCAGCAATATACAGATATACTTTGTTCCTGTTCTTTGTGAAATGTTAAAGCTGTTTTGTCCATTAATCCTTGATCTCATGGGGGAAAAAACTTCACTGGAATGATACAGGGAGGTGGGGGACCAAATATCTTGTATTTTTAGCAAAACTAGGCTACCCCACTTCCATAGACTAATTCCCCCATCAGTTCCCCCAAAGTAACCCCAAGTGAGCTGGATGTTGTGAAGGATAAAATAAGAAAAACAAGAGAATTATAGACCCACCATCCAGATTAACGTCAAAGCACCAGGGAAATTGGGAGATCCAGGCAGTTCAAATGTGTATAAAGATTTATTGTAAACTTAAGCTCTCTACAAGAATCTGAGCTACTAATGGTCAAAGGAAATTAGTGGGAGTTAAGAATAGAAAGGAATTCAAGGTAAACTGGATTTAGATCTCTTGTAGGTATGCAAGGACTCATGACTGATGACATGTTTGACCCCCCCTCTCATACTCAGCTTGGTCATCTCCTACAGCATGACTTGCATAACAGCCATCTTGCTTAGCAACAGAAATTATGTTCTGAATTGTGGTTGTAAGTTGAGGTCTAACTGTACTTTGCTGTAATTATATTATGCTATGTTTACTTTTTTTAAACAAAATATGGTTACAGATAGTCCTCGACTTACAGCCACAATTGAGCCCAAAATTTATGTTGCTAAGCAAAAAAATAGTTAAGTGAGTTTTGCCCCATTTTATGACCTTTCTTGCCACAGTTGTTAAGTGAATCATTGCAGTTGTTAATAGCAATAGCATTTATATACCACTTTATGGTGCTTTACAGCAGTGGTGAAATCTAAAATTTGTTACTACCAGTTCTGTGGGCGTGGCTTGGTGTGTGTGTGGGTAATGTGACTGGGTGGGCATGGCCAATTTTTTTTTTTTACTTTTAAAACCATTTTTTCTACAACCTCTTTGGTGAAGAGGTTGTAAAAAATGCTTTCAAAAGGCTCTGACGATCCCAGCTGAGTTGCCTGACGGCAGAGACTTTTTTTCTTTTAAATGCCTCTGACGATCAGGCAACTCAGCTTGAATTGTCAGAGGCATTTAAAAGAAAAAAAAGGTGTTTTTTTTTTAAAAGCCTTTGAGTATCCCAGCTGAGTTGCCTGATCGGCAGAGACTTTTTTTTCTTTTAAATGCCTCTGACGATCAGGCAACTCAGCTTGAATTGTCAGAGGCATTTAAAAGAAAAAAAAGGTGTTTTTTTTTTAAAAGCCTTTGAGTATCCCAGCTGAGTTGCCTGATCGGCAGAGACTTTTTTTTTTACTTTTAAAAGCATTTTTTTGGCCGAAGAGGTTGTAGAAAAAATGCTTTTAAAACTAAAAAAAAAAAGCCTCTGATGATTGTGCGGCTCAGCTGTGCTTGGGAGGGGGGGCAGGGATTTTTGCTACCAGTTCTCCGAACCACCCGCCTCCATCGCTACCAGATCAGGCGATCAGGTCCAAACCGGGAACATTTCACCCCTGCTTTACAGGCCTCTCTAAGAGGTTTACAGAGTCATCATATTGCCCCCAACAATCTGGGTCCTCATTTTACCGACCTTGGAAGGATGCAAGGATGAATCAACCTTGAGCCAATAAGAATCAAACTCCTGGAGTGAGCAGTGAGTTAACTTGCATTACAGTACTTCACTCTAACCACTGTGCCCACACAGATAACATGGTTAAGTTAGTAACATGGTTGTTAAGTGAACCTGGTTTCCCCACTGACTTTGCTTGTCAGAAGGTTGCAAAAAGTGATTACATGTTCCAGGGACACTGCAACCATCATAAATATAAATCAGTTGTCAAGTTGTCATATCAGTTGTCATATGAGTGTAAATCATATGACCATGGGGATGCTTCACCGGTTGTAAGTGTGAAAAATGGTCATAAGTCACGTTTTCAGTGCCATTGTAACTTCAAACAGTCAGTAAGCAAACTGTTGTAACTTGAGGACTATCTATATTATTTTACACCTCAAGAATTATAGATACATATATACATCTATTGGTCTAGGCCAGGGATGTCAAACTCGTGTCGTCACATGGTCACATGACGTATCATGATTTTTTTCCCCTTTCGCTAAACAAGGGGTAGGCATGGCCCGCGCATGACACTTCCGGCCCGCAGGCTGCACGTTTGACACCTCTGATCTAGGCTTTCACAGCTGATATCTGATGGGCAGTGTTAAGGTTGAGGGTTTACTGACCAGATTTCCTGTGATTTCCCCAGCAACAGCAACTGGTAGAACAGGCCACTTTGCATTTAAAAATGCACCCACAGTGGCTTGTGAAACATTTAAAAATATATATATATAAGCCATAATTAATAAACCCTGAAGCTCAATACTGATTAAAGTGTTGAGCAAATTAAAAATGCAATTTCCTACATTTAAATTGTGATTTCTTTAACTATAGTTTACTGAACTAGTCCATTGTTCTGACAGAATTGTAAATCATAAATTGTAAAGTGGAATGACTGGGTATACATATGTCACTGAGTTAAAACTAGGCTGGCAAGCTAATAAGTGAAAGATAAAGGGAAAAGCTGATTATTAGGATTGTGTGTTGGCAAGCTTTAGTTTATTGTTTAAAAACTGAATTGCTTATAATGAGGGTTTTTTAATTTTTTTGCGTCCTTTGGAATATTTTTACTTTTTTATGCATTTGGCTCTCTATTTTGCTATATTTGCCTTTTCCTTTTTCTCTGTAGATTTTGGGAATAAAAATTAAACAAAAAAGGGATGAGTGTACTCTGCCACTTTTACACAGAAAATGGAATTTTCCATCTTTGTAGAATCTTAGCAGTCAAAGACAGGTGTCTGGTAGATTTTTTTTTTTTCCACTCACTCTCATTTTTTCAGTAGATTGGAATGTTTAACCCCATATAATTATAGACAGTTGCAAATTTATCCTGGAAAAAAACAGCATCTGCTAAATTGTATCCTACCAAAACAATGTTTGCCTGTCTATTAAATTTACTTGCTAATGTCTTTGGGTGTTGTGATGCACTTTTTAGAAAACGTGAGTAGTTTGTGATGAAGACAAACCAAAATATTTGTATACTACTAAAACTCTCCTGATTGTCTGTTTATAACCTATGTTTAGGCAAAATGATGCATCCTAAGGCAACAATTTTTGAACCGACATCTCTAAAATGGGTTAACTTAAAGAATGTATCCAAAATTTAGGACACATTACTCCAGTGGGATGGAAATTTGGCAAAGCTGTGTCTGTTTAATGCCACTATGCCATTGAGCTACCATAAGTAGCTATATCCATGTGGTCATTTTCAATGTTTCCTGCCAGCTTTCCACAAGGAAAGCCAATGGAGGATCTGGCAAGAAGTCTTTCCCACTGCTTTTTTGCCGCTTGTGGTCATTCTGTTTCTCAATTTGGATAAGGACATATCTCTGAAACAATGACCCAAAGGGTCAGGGGGTTGTCTATTTATTTCTCTTCTCACATTAGAACATGTATATAGATTTTTGTCTTCTAACCTTTCAATCTCTTGAATACAAAATCTCTAAGTTACCTCTGCACTAGCATAGGCCACATGGTGATGACCTTGGCAGAATAATTGCACAACACAGAGCCCTTAAACAAACAAAAAGAGAAGCAAAACAGATCGTTATTCCCCACCATTCTCCTCTTAGTCAGTTTATTGATGCCTTATTTCCAAGAACCTTTGTTTCCCTGCTGTCTGCCAGAGGTTCACAGTTCTATGTTCTGCAGCTGTTAGTTAAGAATTGTGCAAATTGTGGGAGGCACCTATGGTGGGGAAGCTGCCATATAGTCTAGATCTCTTTTAAACTTGTCTCTCCCAATCTCATGTGACTAAGCTATCCATTTGTGACAGTGCACTTTTCCCCCGCCTGACTTGTTTTTTTTTGTTTTGTTTTTTTTTAAGATGACAACATTAAACTCATGATGAGTTATTGTGAAAGATCTG